CTTATTCTCACCAGTGTAAATGCTACACTGGACATGGGGACAATGGGCAAAAAAGCATTGCCGGTTGTACTATTTAGATCTACAAAACTTCTTAAGCATAGTTAAATCTATGCTAATACCTCTGTTGCGAATTAAGCTCATAACCTACCTGGCTTGTTATTGAAATTAGAAAGTGTTTACTTTAGAAGAGTTCAAGCCAGTAACCTGTAGGTACGATTAGCAGTCCCTGACCCAGCCGTTCACCCAGGTTTCTTCAGATGCTTAAAAGTAGATAAAAATATCACATACGACCAGTTACTGTGCAAGTCACCTTCTGTTTTGCAATTTTTGCTTACCCTCCCTTCCTACCTCCAGTATCAGAGTGATTTAAATGTGAATCTAGGATATAAAACATACACTGAGTAGCTGTGATATGGTTATTGCCTCAGGGTTCCTTAGCTCAGACATATCCCATCTGTTGTTTGTTACGTGATGCTGAGGACACAAGTGTTACTTCTGGTGTTCACTATGTTCCCGTGCACAGTGTTAAGGGTTTAGCACCCAGGTTTCCACTGCAGCAGAGGCAGATAAATTTCTTCCAGTCTGGATGAACTAAGACTGTAAAAATGTAAGAACTGTATAATCTCATACTATAATGCTGTGTCAGAGCCAGGATCCTGTCTCTGGTTGAGGCAAAGAGCAGATTGCTCTGGAAGAGGTCAGGGGTCAGACAACATTGCAGTCTTACATCCATAGTGCACCCTCCTCTCTTCCAGCAATCTACAGCTCTGATCTGCTAGGTTCACTAGGTTTCAGGCCCCCAGAAAATGTCATCTTACAGCTTACAGGCTGACATATGTCTCCAGCTCATGAAACAGAGTTTTGGTAGCCTAAAGTTCAGGTCTCTAGGTGACTTAGGAAGTCCATAAAGAATCATGCATCACAGTGTGGCAGCTCTTCTCTAAGTAACCCTTACCTTTTCCCAAAAAACCTGGTAAGGCTGAAGGTCAAGTTTTCACAGATCCAGTGTTCATGAGGGCTATCAGAGACGACATGGAGCCTTCCCTTCCAGTTTTATTACCTGATAGGGGCTGGTGACTTGAGTTCTTTGTTCACAGAAGTGACAGAGAAAATGTCAGCCACCCTACACTGCACAACGCTCTGCCTGATTGTTGATACTGACGTTCAGTCCAAATAGGTTGGGACTTGGGCCAAAGTCTTCTCTGGTCTAAAGCTACTGACCTCACTGGCTTACTTCAGAGAATGCATTTGTACCTTCTATACTTGTGCCAACTGGCACCTATTCAGCTTTGCTAGGAAGGCTGATAAAAGCGGTATTTTCCACTGAGAAATCCAGGGAAAGAAAGAACATCTTGGTAATCTTTTATATTTTTAAAAGAGATCTTTCAGCTCATTTCATATCTTCTGGTCCTGCTTACCTACAGGGGTGAGTTAACACTGAAGTGGAAGTGTACTGTGCTGTGTGGGCATGTGCACACGTGTGCGTGTGCAGAGCAGCAGAGCTGATGGACAGCAGAGGACAAACTGAGAGTGTGTTAGTGTCAGGTCTAACAGGAAACATTACAGTGAGGAACACCACACTGGTCACACACACCCAGGGCACTGTGAAAGGAGAGAGAGCAAGGACTGTGAAGATGCCAAGTAAATATCTTTTATCTGTCATCAGACAATCGCATCTTGATTTTGCCTATGGATCCCATTGTTAAATCCTTCAACACTGCAGAAAAGCACTTGGCCTCAGAGGGCTGAGCAGAGCTCACCCTAGCAGGTGTTCTAAGCCAACTGTTTGTGGACTGTATTGGGGACTAGAAAAGGGAACATGAAGTTTCCTCTTTTCTCTGTAGGAGCTGTACACGCCTGATCGTCTCTAGGCACAATTAGGCCATACCCTTTCCTTTTGCTTTGCAACCATTTTTCTGTGATATCTGGCAAGGCACATACTGCAGTTGAATCTTCCCCACTTATCTCAGCTGCTGTGCTTAAAGCTGGTGGAAATTGTGTTCTAACCATGAAATGCTGATCAAAAGTGAGAACTTAAAGTAAATTATTATTATTATACTTTAAAGCAAGAAAAATATGCGATAGCACTGAAACAGAAAAAACAGCTATTATACTTGTTTATAGTAGGGGGATGCAGGAAGGTGATGACACAACCTAAAAATATATTGCCTCATCCAAATATTAAACATTAGGAAGTCTTGTAGAATCTTATTCGCTGGTCAAGTTACTTGTTTGACCTTAAGTTTACTACTAGAAGACAGCAACAAGAATAGCCTCTGAAGACGGCTATCTGTATCATTTAATTACTGTACTCTAGATCAACCTCTACTGTTTCTCAACTGACTTTTGGGCCAGGTTGACCTTTTCACAGCCAAAGGAGCCCTCATTAAGATATCTGATCTCTTACTAAAAGTTAACTTTGTCAAGAGGAGCTTTAGTGCCCTATAAACATGTTAAACAGTAGTATAACAGCTTGGCATCATTTTCTCTATTAGTACCTTTAAATGTCAATCTGCCCACAGAGAGCATAAAGCATTATGGTCTAGAAATCCACAAGTTTCCTCCCTTAAGTATTATTTACAGCAGTTTATAATAGTACTTTAAACTGATATGTATGTTTTATTCCATATATTCTTAGAATAAATTCTGAATAGAAATTTCTGTATTTATGACGTAGCTGATAGTTACCAGTGGGATTTGTGGAGCTTTGCAGAAGGATGGACAGTACCTTATCACATAAAGTTGGCCATGTCATGTGTGAAAAGTAAGAATTATAAATACTATGAATAGATTATAAATGTATTAAAATCTGTAAATCTGCTCAGATGTAAGATCATTACTTTTTCTTTTGAGTACACAGACAAGGGTGAGGCCCTCAAAGTTGTTATGAGGGGAAAAAAAAGTTGCTTTTGAGAAAAGTAGACTATTTTGCCAGATTACTTGTACTTTACCAAATTAATCAGAATACAAAACAAACCAAAATTTTTTTTAGAATTTTCTTTACAAAAGGAAGGCAAGGCTCTGACATAGTACTTTTAGCATCAATTTGTAAAACTATCAGCATTCTCTTTTTTTTAACCCTAAATTCTCACTTTAAATACCCCCTCCTTTTTTTATTTTTCCACTATGGCTTCCTTACAAACTATGTGTAAGAATGCAAAGCTTAATGAATAAAGTTGCTGCCGAAAAGTCCCCACTTTCTCAAGCATTAAACCTGAAACTGCACGGTTCTAGTTCTTTCAGTCTAGCTCTGTCCAGAGAAAAATAATTTAATGTGACTTTAAAGCTAGATTTTACATATATACACATAAGGAGAACATGACAGAGTAGGAATGTCTAGACTCCTGAAACTTGGGTCTGACGGCATGACTGGGTTATTCATGCTGCCTCATTAATGCACCTAACAAATGTATCTAATTTAGGAGACTAGTTTTCCTAGGTGATAGTTGGAGACAGATCTTTCCGATGGCAATCTGAATTTCCTTACACTGATTGTGAAGAGGCCAGTGTAACTCCACTGATGATATAGGGAGCCTAGGATGAGTAACCACCTGTGTTAGTTACCTCACACTGAGCAGAGAGAATTCCCCCGACACACTACCATGCTGTAACCATTATGCATATGAGTAAATGAGTGGAGACAGTCTCTTACTCTTAGTGTCTTCAGTAGATTCAGTAGTTGCCTTTGTGGGAAAGGGAAAAAAAAAAAAAAAAAAAAGGAGGAGTAGGGCAAATTATTGTTTCCTTGAAGTACACAGGAATGGCAGTATATTCTGTGCTTCTGAATAAGGCCAGTAGAACACTTTGGAAGACACTGTTCCACAGTGTGTCAAGCTTCAAACATCCAACTGAAAATTGACAACTGAGTAATTATCTTCATCGATTTTAGCCAAGGAAATGGATGAACAGTGAATAAGGCAGTTGTTTTAGCTTTTTAACTACCTCTACCCTCAGTAAGTGCTGGAATGCAAAAATCTCTTCAACTCGTTTTGTCTATAACCATATTAGAAATCCCAGATCATGTAATGTACCTCTGCTGAAGACAGTGCTAAAGACATCTGGGCCCTTGAAACATTTGTTTGTGTTATGCTTTGAGTAAAAAGAACAGTGAAAAACAAAACCACTAAACAGTTCACAAAAATTCCAGGGAATAGATGTGGGTCTTCTGAACTCAGAAAATACTTCTTACATTTAGCAGTTACGAATTAAGCCTAACCTGAAAAGCTTTAAAGTAGAAGGACTTATGACTTGCAAGAAAGAAGTAGGCTAGGGAAAGAAAAAAAGCCATACCATGTAATGGAATTCCAGAGTAATTTCAGCAAGAGGAGGGCTACTGGCTATTTTTATTACTGTCTTTCATTAGACAAGAGTGCTGTTAGGCTGTACCTGAAATGCCAGATGATGACTACAGCTGAGTATGTTTTACATTCACTGGTTACTCACACCACTAACACTAACTGCCAGACCACAGCAATCAGCTCAAGCAATGGATGCCTTTCCTGAACAGAAAAGGGAAGATTCTCAAGGACACTTGACCTGCAGTGATGTCTGGGCCTGTAACTTTCCCCTTGCGTTTTTAAAAATGTCCCAAAGCATTGAGAAGAAGCTTAAGAATCTCTGTTGACAATCCCATACTGCTGCAATATTACTCCATATATCAGTAGACTGGAATAAGGCACTGACTCGATTGGAGGCTGAATGAGTTTCAGTACTCTGCAACACAAATCTGGCAAATCAAAGTTCACTGATGGTACTGCAATACTCTAGACTTCACTGAGCTTTAAGACCTGTCAGATGACATACAAAGGCACTCATGCCTAGGCACCTCATGGTCTTACAAATGCCTTTTCTTGTGCTCTGGAACTGAAAACCTATCACTCAGCTGTGGGTCAATCGTAAGTGATCACACAAGACAGAAAATAAAATATATGTAAGAAAAGGACACAGGAGCTTATTAGCCAAAAAAAAAAAAAAAAAGGAATGAGAAAAACGTCTCTTACCTGGTCGAGATTGTTGTAAAAATCTATATTGGCTGCACACAGGTATCTCCCAAGCAGAGTTGCATGGGTAGTAAAAATTGTGGCAACTGGAAGTTTCTGAGCTCGAGACAGTATTAAACCCACTCCTGACTGCCACTCATGGAAGTGGGCAATTATGTTGGGCTTGTCATCAAACTGACAGGAAAGCTGAAAATAATTAGAAAGAACATACATGAAACACACATTATCCTGCCCATCAGCCCAACCCCAGAAACCTCTATTTTTTCATGCCACCTTCTGCATGCTTGCTTTCTTTCATATGACAAAGCAGTACAGTGTTTTAAGTGGTCATGTGTCCCGACTCCCATCAGCCTTAATCCTTAGCCCAAGAAGCACATGTGCCTCAGAACAGTATCACTCTTCTTCCTTTTAACTTTCTCTTCTACTGTTGAAACTCTTCTTTGGGTAATAAAATCATGAGCACCTATGAATAACAGGTGCTTGTACAAATTAACAAAGTTTCCTCTCTCCAGATAGGCTGTGGTAGAGTGACATATGAAGTCACAGTGCTATCATTAGTTCTTTCTGTCTATATTCCCTGGGCAAAGTAGCATCTCATCTCTGAGATATGGCCTGACTGATTTCAAGGACAGTTTGTGAGTGTGACAACTTGACTACCATAGGAGAGAAAAATGGAGTTTGAGATCCTACTTGTAAGAGCATCCAGTGACAAATAAGGGAGTTGAGAAGAAACAGAGAGGGAAGTGACAGTAAAGACACAGCAGATTTCACATGGAGCAGCTCTCCCCACCTCCCTCATTCTTACAGAAAAATATAGTTAGATGACCACTTAAGAATTAAATTTTAAATACAAATTTGTTCTACATCAGCTATCAACATCCTTAAAATCATAGTTTTCAACCTGGCGAATAGGAACTACATCCCAAAGCTTTTTTGCCCTGCTGACAAGGCTGATTGAAAATCTCTAGATTTAAATACTGTACCTCTTTCAAAAACCAGGCTGTTAACGATCCAAAAATCACAGCATCATTGGCTTCTTGGTCATGAAAAGGGATCCCTATGTTGCTGACGTCCCAAAATTCACCTTTCCACCTGTCCAAATTCCAAGCTGCTGATCCTATATCGAACAGTAAGACATATGGGCTGCCCTCTATCAGCCATCTTCCAAAAAAGACCTATGGGAAAGAGGCAAGTATATAAACAGAAAATGTTAAAGTGAATGTAAAGGCCAGTTAGCATAACTATTTTCATCCACTAGATCTTAGGTATTTTACATAAGGAATATGTGATCATAGCCCTATATACCAAGGATATGTGGTTTTTCTTGCAAAATATGTGGAATAATACTGGACCAAAGGCAGGGGTAAAAGGAAACTATAATCTTTAGGAACATTTTGGTTTTAAAACTTTCATTTTAGGCTTTCATTGCAATATTAACCATTTTTTATTAAAAACAGCTTAGAAAGACTATACTTGGTTGAATAATGAGGTCTTATGATCTTACTGAAGTATCTATGTAATTTTTGTTCTTATTTCAAAATTATTGTTTTCTTTCAGTCAGATTTGTCACCAGTGTTTTGCCATTTATGCTAGATTACTGGTAATAGATTTTGTAGGACAGGTGTTTGGGACCTGTATCTACCATGACACTTCCTCATGCTGCTCAAGAAGAGCAGTTGATGCCCTTTGGCAGAGTGGAAGGATCAATCAGAAGATGTAAATACCTAAAATCACATCAGCCTAAAAATACAGCTTTCCTGCTTTATTGGTATAGTTAAATATCTCTAAGCGTATTTAGAACTTCACTGATATAACCTACCTGCCCAACCAGGAGAGTAGGCTGAACTGTCATAAGGCAACACAACACAGCTGGGCCCACACCCACACTACAGATTGTACCAGTCTGCACAGTCAAATTATTTCACATTAATTCTACCATCAAAATGGCTGTCGCAGCAGAGACATATTAACCAGGAAGAACAAGGTACTACAAGGAGGCTAGTGCAGTTTATACCCTATGCAGAGGAATCTTTTATGCCACTGTTCAATCTCTCTTCATTCACCAACCTCTGGGATGTCAGGGGTTGAACCCAGCCCTGACACTAGAATGGGCTGAATAGAGGACAGGTCTTGAAAACAATGAAATGATAGCTCTTAGACCTGTTTGCACAAGACAGGTGTGTGAAGGAGGGTCGGCTCCTTATGCACTTACTTCAGGCTATCCAGGTTTCTTATTCATGAAAATGAGGTTAAAAAGCAGGGAGTTTTTGTGAACCCAGTCTTCATCTAAATGTGGAGTCAGGTTGTGGCAAGGAACAGACCTGACCTGAGAAATTTGGAAATGTTTCTAGGTCCCCTGGTTTAAAGGGATCCATTGTGATACATAAGCAAAATCCAAACATAAATGTTAATATGCGCAGCTCCTGGAAACTAGAGTGTCATTATTAGAGATCAAAGCTCTACTTGATGTACCTGGGACAGATTTTCTGCTATATGTGAATACTCCATCAGCACAATGCACATGTTAGGTTGGCAGAGTTTGCTGATTAAATTGAATATATTGCTGGAACATCATGAAGTGTATATATAGCACTGCAATTAATCTGCCCACAAGTCTTTAGCTGTTTTTCAAACAAAAGGGCTACACTTGCAGAGACATTTTGCAACAGAGACAACACAGAAAACTTGATCAATCACTTATGAAGGTCTGATTAGAAATAAGAAATGGCAGTTAGATTAGACCTTTTAGTTTGAACCTCATCCTGAAGAATGCAGACATCACATGTTAGTGTCCCCAACAGACACTTTCATAAGCTGTGGCACATATATGTCCAACAATACACTTCTACATAATATGCAGTAGGGTACTAGACCCTAATAACAGCAGAACTGCTGTTACAAAGGGATAACACACTACCAGTGACACAGCTGGTAGCAGTCCAAGAACTTTATGAATTTCTACATTAAAGTGTGTCATGCCCCTCAGCAACAGAACCTTGTAAGAATGCTTCCTTGCTGCTGCCTCACAATGCTTTTCACATCTATTTGCCACACATTATAAGCAGACAATTTTTCCTTCTGCACACTAGTGCCTTTGAGGGACTCAATGCTGAATCAGAGTGAAGGTGAGTTCCAGATCTCTGATGAGGACTTTCAAGAAAAGAGATCAAATTGAGCATGTGTTATCTTCCACTGATTTTCAGGTAATCAGTTGTCCTTGAGGATGCAGCTGCTTGCAGTTTAGTAGCTTGTACATCAACACAGCAGATTCTATTTCTTCCAACAGATTACCTTTATAGGAAGAAGTTTATTCCTAGTTTAATGTTGGAGAAAATGAGTCCCAGAAAGGCTGTGAGGTTTGACTGAGATCACACAGAAAACACTGGTTAAAAATTGTGTAGGAAACAGATGAATTCACTCCTTGTGTTGTGGTTTAATATCTTTTCCTAGAGAAGACTGCTAGTTGCATTGATCTGAGGAAGCAGATTCTTTGTCAGCTGGGTGTTTTTCTTAAGTCCACCTGTGGCATATCCCTTTCTGGATTTCAACTCAATATAACACTACATAAGAAAAGTTGTGAGCTAGTGGAACACTATTCTCTCTCCAGCACAAGAATGCTAAATGTAAGGGTTCAGTCAAAGTAAGGTCATAATATATCTAACTAAAATCTCACTGTATTTAGAGACTAAATAAGTCATTAATCCAATTAAGCAGCCTTGCAGATAAATGACTGTTAACTGGCTCTTCCTCAAAAATAACCTTTAATGAATTGACTCTGCTGTTCTAACAGTGAGTTAAAGCCTTTCCCATTTTGACCTTGACCCGGACTGCTGTGTCAAGTGGAATGGCGAGAGCATTAACCAAAATGGTAATCTCCTCAGAGTCATCTTTGTTGCTCAGGGAAGCAGTAGCACATCTGATTTACCTGACACCCTTGGCTTTTCATGATGTCCATTGCCTTCTTAACTGAGGGGTTTGGAGGCTCACATGCTTCCACCTGAGTCTTCACGTTGTGCTCAAAATGGGGACCAACCAGAAAATAGTTTTCACCCCATTCATCTGCCGTAGTTTTGGCTTTTGTCTGGATTACAGTGTAAATGCCTCCAACTGCAAAAGAAGATCACAAAGAACGAAAAATAGAGGGGCACAGGCCACAGACCTCTGGAATAAGCTCCAACCCACCTGTGCATCAGATACAGCTCTAATCAAATCACTTCACATATTCAGATTTTAAGTGAAACCCAGACTATCAAATAAATAGAAGTTTAGCCTCTTAAATGGCATCAGAGTTTCATGATTCAATTGAGGAGTATGCACCAATAGCAGACATTGTGTAATTCTTAAATGACAATTTAATGCTCTGCTTACTCCTGGGTGACTGCATATGGCTTCCCCGAATCTCTCCTCTAATCTCATACAGATGTTTTTTATCCTTAATTGTTACTTTTTATCTAGTCTGTGTTTTTAAAAATTTCTTTTAGTTACACCACAAATACTCAACCAATATATTATTTTATCCTTATGTTATTCCCCCCTTTATGGATTGTGAAATCTTTACACTCAGATTGTGGGATTGAAATCCTGGGGCTCATGCTTTCAACGTCTCATGCCTAATCTGGATTCTACTGCATCTCAAGCACATCCTTTTGCTATTTTATTGCAGCAGCTATAATTTTCAAACATAATTTTATTGATGTGGAAATACATGTGTGAGAACTGAGCTGGCACTACCAGCTTGTTTTAAACAAATCACTAAAAGAAGTTTAAGGACTGATGGATTTCATTGACTGCTGACTATAAAAATGGATTTAAACCAATATCCTCAAAGCAAAAGGTGTTATGTTCCATTACGATTCTAAAGAGTTGTTAAAGTTGGAATGAATGTAACCTACACCGCCAGTATAAATGTCTGCAGCACCTTCCGCCAAAATATTGTCCAATTTAAAAATAAATGCAATATTAAAATGTACAAGAGAATGTGACAACAACATCCCCTGCTGAGTCAATACAGGTCTATCTAGTCTTGTACATGGTATGTAAGATTCACTTAGCTGCTCTTCCTCACAGTTTTCCAGAGCCAGCCCTGTAATTCGTGCATTGGCAGGGCAGCCTTGCAAGCCCTCCTTTCCCATGGGACCCACGGTGCCAGGCGGGAGGCATTCCACCATCACCAATTTGGAAGAACAACAGTGCATGCTTAGATCCAGCAAGAGGAAGGAAAGGCAAGGTAAAAGAAAATCAGAGGCTAGGTAGCTGCTGTACACCAGAGACTAGTTAGGTGTAGCTCCAGTGATTTTAAAGCATGGTATGATAAATGAAGCTCAACAGGTACAAGCAAACACCAAAAGAAAGAATAGGAAGCGAATTAGTGTTCCTACATAAAAATTTCATCCTTCACTGAATTTGGAAACATTTGGTAGTACTCCAGGCAAGAAGACTGTGTTATGCCTTTCATCAGTAACATCAAAATCACATAAGGGGTCAGCACTGAAAGTGGCCAGTGATTGATAGCAGGTATTCCAGACTTACTTTTTTTTAAGGTACTGGGGTATCCAGAGGTGCCAATGCACCACACCTGATTGTGTATAGCAAGCATCTTGAGAAGTGACCAGATTCTCCTTAAAAATCTGCCACAAATAACCACTATTTACAATATAGCACCTGAAGTTGCTCAGCACTTTGAGAGAATAGTTCCCAGATTAGTTAAAGTGTATCACCTGACAACTATAGAAAGCCTTCTGCCAAACCTGGTATCTTGTGGACCTGAGGAACTGAACAGCAGAGCTATGTTTTTAACTCTGCTCTTAGAAAAGCAATCATGTGCTTAAAATTCTTTTCTCTGCAAATACCCCATTTGTTTTGCATGCTGGAAGGATCCTTAGCCCTACTATTTTTATGTCAAGAAGTCTCAGGATTCTAGGTATTTTACAAAGAAAAACAAATGCAGTTCCAATTTACCAGCTTGCTAAGTAGAATTATTACAATAAATTATTACCCTACCTAGTAATTTAGGACCTAAGAAGACAAGAATCCTACAGATATATGTTCCTAAACCAAGCTCACAGTTCAAGAGTTTCATGTCATATAGACATGGAACTGCAGAAGGGCATGTATACATAAGACTATTCTTCTCCACTTCATTAGGACCAGAAAGCTAAGAAACTAACTTACAGTCATCATGCTCTTCCATGGTGGCTCTGGACAGGGATTTAGAGCAATTTTAGGTAAATGACACCATATATTCCCTCCAAGTTCCTCTCTGCACAAGCTGAGACTACTAGAATAGCTTAGATTCAGATAAATATATGATTTTAAATATTTGAGATGAGTCAGAATGTTCAACCCATAAAGAGATAGTTACGATGACATGTCTGTTCTTATGGGGTAGTAAATACATCATATGAGCCTAAGGCACTTCAATCCAACATGGATAAATACGAGGCTTGGTAGAAATCTTAGTCATTAAACTAGCTGAGTTTAATTGGCAGAAATACAGAGCTTACAATAAAGGTAGATTTTTGTGCAAAGCAGCCTGGTGACCTGGGGAAAAGAGAAAATATGTACTTGCAAGATGGAAGATACTAAACATGCTAAAGCTGTATGTGACTAGAGTGGTGCAAAGCTCCTTCCCCACCATCAGAAGAATGGAGATCTCCCTCTTTCATACTGCAAAGTGTTCAATATTGGGATCAGCGAGGTAGCTGAGTTTCCACATCTATTAATTTTAAGATTAATAAGAAAGCTGCAGCTCAGGAGCCAAATAGAGTCTGGAACTTTGTTATGTATAGCCAACAGCTAAGTGTTTCTTTTCACAAAGTTTTGCTTAGGAACACTGTGTGTCCTAAACCATGGCCTGCCAAAGATGTTTGGAAGGTCTGTTTTGAGGGAAAAGAGTGGAGAGTATGTGGTGCTCTGCCATTGTAATCTGTTACACAGCAAGGTAAAAATCACTTCAGGGCACTGTTATGCCTGAAATGCAATGAAAAGTACTTAGGATAAAAATGAAAAAGTACATTTTACAGACTGTGAAAACTCTTCAGAAAATAGTTGTGATAAAATCTCTGGGCTATATAGACCCAAAACTTGCTTTTGTCTTCTCTGTTACTGTGGAAATATGACTCACAAAGCATGTCTGTGCATAAGCTTTAATTGACAGGGGAGCGAAACTGCAAGTGAAACTATGTATGTGGAAAATGTTGGGCATAACTTAAAAAAGACATCTTGAGAAGAACAGAGAAATGTTTAGAATAATGTATGGACTTTTGAAATTACTCTTTTCCATAGAAAATTCAAGGAACACATTATATATCATTAAGAGATAGCTTATATCTGCTCGGTTACTTTGAATTCCCTGGAAATACCTGTGCTAATAAGCAATGGATTACATACCCTACTGAGTAACAGAGTAAGGGTTTACATATTCACTTGGAGCCTAACAGAATTCTCAAATTACTTCCAACAATTTGGACGGCTTCATTATTCTTCTCTAATATGATGTTTTAAGGTCATATTATAAACAGGAAACCTTTCCAAACAATGGGGATGTACCAAAATCCTATTATGTTGCAAGTTTCTGTATGCAGCCTCTGAAGTTTTGTACTTTGAAACAGATTTTAAAACAAACAATAAAAGACAAAACAAGAAATAGATATAGAATCAGGAGAGATTAGATCCAGAGAATTGGTTGGGATCATCACAAACATGGGGAATTTGCAGTAAAATGTGGATACAGGACTAGTTTAGTGTTCTGATCTCCACCAAAATGCTTTATTAAAATATTTTAAGTTTTAATCATTTCAAAATGTCCTTGAGAGAAAAGTATTTCTCTTCTTTGTTTTTAAAATGTGTTTTTAACTTTTCTACCAAAATAAAGGAGATCAAGTTAAAAAGCAAATCAGCAACAAAACTTTTTCCCATTTACTTCCTTTTCATTCTTCCTGTTTTTCCAGAGAAAAATAAGCTGGCATGGAAAAGGGAACTAAAATGCTTGGGAAAGAATGATTTTGTTAAGAGAAGTTTGACTTTTTTTAGTGACCTCTTTAAAAAATAGAAGATGAAAACAAAATATTTTCGCATAAAATATTTCATAGAATTCTTTTTTAAAGTTTGAATGTTTTCATATACATTACCACTACTATGAATTTGTCTGAAGGAGTTATCTGCATCACTCCAGCCATTCTTTTCTCATTTCAAGTCCTCGTGTATTATTTCTTTTGTATATATAAAAATCCAAGCAACAAATGGAGCCTTCCAGAATAAACATCAGAACTATCTAAATAAACAAAAAGCCGGTGAGTCAAGAACAGTCTCCTGATATCATATCACTATGGAGGACAACGTTAGGCAGAAGTGAAGATCTAACTATGAAGCTGGAGGTCTTTGTGCAAGACCTAATATGTAGATGTGCTCTTTCTGCTGCAAGGAAAGGTACACTGCCAATGCTTTTTGTCACCTGATGAGGAAAGATCCACAACTTCCAGGATTACCCAGGAATTGTGCTGACAAAAAACGTCTTCTGGAGATGTGATCCTTTGAGCATGGAATTGCCAAGACTTCTCAAAACTGCCAGAGATACCCACCATTCATTTTACTTTCTCTTCCCACCCACCCCACATTACAGCAGGACAGAGGGAAGTAGCAGCAGAAACAAAAAAGGAAGGAGAGAGACAGGAAGCGAAGCTATGCAAGTGAGATACAGATAAGTAGAGGTTGTCACTGGTCTTTTAGTCCTTCCCCACACACCTTTGCTACACAGAGAGAGGATCAGGGTACTCCCGGGGCTCTTCAGCTTCTTTGCTACGGCCTGACCCGACCACTCTGAAGACACTAACGCTTTCCTGAGGACCACAGCTGCCATGGGATGCAACAGAGCAGTGGAACCCCAGGTTCAGGATTCAAATTGACTCCACTGCCACAATTACTAGTTACATCAACTATCCTTTCGCTCCTTCCCCTCAGAATGTGTATCTGATCTAGAAAGATGTGATAAAATTGGGCTTGAACTCGTTTCTAATGTTTGGTTGGAATTTTATTTATTTATTTATTTACTGGTTGCCTGTTGAGATATCCAGGGACCATTTATAGAATAAGGTTGTAAAATGTGTCAGGTGAAAAAAAACCCAGCATTCAGAAAGGACATGTTTTTCATATACTTTTTAGCCATGTTTGTGGCCAGGCCATCAGAAGACAGTTCTCTAAATTCTGTGAAATTGTGCCATTCCAAACATATTCTGAAATAATACTGAAACACTGAAATTTATGACAGATGTCTGCAATACAGAAGCTATTTCTGTGTGCATCATCCCCAATGCACAAGATTTCATTTGAAATTGATTTGACATTGATATACCACCCCACTCTAGAAATGCACAGAGCTTTGATTCTGTGCTTATGCCAAGTATATGCCAGCACATCCCCACACCCCAAGTGTCACAGGTGTGTCACAGATTACAGCATTCACCTCCTCCCAAGGAACTTTCATCATCGAAATATGTTTAACTCAGAGGATAAAATGTTGGTCCTACTGACTTCAGTGGATTCAGGATTTAATTTCCAAGAGTCCAGATTTTTACCAGAGAAACTGTATATAGAGCTCTGCTCCAGGAAGAACTGAACCAAGGTTTGTTTTTAGCAGAATCTTTATTCCAATAGGGATGGAAAAAATATTTAGGATTCATCTACCAGTGACTCTTGAGCTAATGTGTTCACAGATGAATGATGATACAAACGGGCTGTTTGCCCAGCATTTTTAAGCATTCTTCTATTTTCTATCTAAAAGCTGTTAGTAGTACAGCAGAAGATACTAATCTAAATATTACTGGAATGATTTTTAAGAAGTCTTTATAGAGCACAGACCAGATTCTGAGCCTTCTCAGCCCTTCTCATTAATGCATCAGAAAACCCACTAAACTGCAGCTAACTTACTCTAACTTACAGAATTAGATTTCTCCCCCCTACCAAGATGAAATACTTCAGTTTTCAGTGGGCAAAAATTTAAAAGAGGTTAAAGATGATGGAGCCATTTTCACTGTGGAAAATGTCCAGGATTGCTGCCATTACTCCTACAATGGCCTTTGGCTGCTCCCTGTTGATAATTTCCATCTGTGGGGCTTCAGACACAAGATCTACATTGCTTGTAGCCACTTGGTTTGTGCTCCTGTCCTTAAAGTTTTTATTGGTTTGCATGTTATGGAGGAAAGAAAACCAGTCTTCTTTTCCGATGTGTGCAGAGGTATGACCAGATCTGGCTTTACTGGAGCATGGTTGTCAGGAGAGAAGGGTAAAGGTGAAAAATGCTGAGCTTCCGCATGATTTACCACCAGATCTTGTGGCCCTGCCATGCACTGGGGCCCTTGCCTGCCTGCTTTTTTCCCCTTCTGCCACAGAAACACAGTAGATCAACTTGACAGTATGGGTCTTGACCATCAATGAAGAGCCAAATAAAGCGAGGAAAATCTTGCAAAACAAACAACACTTTTCTAGTTTCTTTGGCAGGGGACTTTCAATGCAAGATTATTTCAATGTTGTGCTTGGTTTATGTGGCAATTCCCTTTTCACATGGCTTAGGGAAAGGAGGAGAGAGGCCAGCTTCTGAGAAAGAAGTGATAAGACTCTGGAAGTAATGGATACTTGTAGATCCCCGAGCACTGAACTCATAAAACTGACTTGTCCTTCCCTAAAGCTGCATCTTATGCCTCAGTACCAACTAGAACCATCAGGGAAATCCTAGTAAATGCTTGCTCCCCACAGGCAGCCTGGCCCCTGATGACCCTCTTACACTACATAATCAGATGTGCTCCAATTTTCAGGACCCCTTCATCATCCTCAGACTCTGAAGGAGAATATATTTAAGAGGTTCAGAAAACAGCTCAACACCTGTAAAGGGCACTGCTTACAGGTGTGGGAATAGATAGCCATCTGTGAGCTTGGGTAGCAAGTCCTTCACAGGGAAGAAGACATTCAGCCTTTTTGTCACTGTCACAGAGAAATGGAGGAACCACTAAGAAGCAGCACTGGTCAATGAGGAAACGTACCCATAGCCAAGCACCTAGTGATGATGTGCACAAAGTTAACACAAAGACTTGAACTCCTGTAGGCAGCAGCAGCTTTACATCACTTTAGCAGTGCAAACCAATGTCACGGTGTACTACTCTGACACACCTTTGCATTGCCAGAAAGGAAGAAAGAAACCTTCACGTTAAATGCTCAAAATTAGCTTCTCAGGCAATAAACCCAGCTAATGTTTATCTTTACCTCTATATTAGGAATATATACAGCAACATTAAAACTAAAATACTAAATCACATAGCATTATGTGATTTACTAAAGTTATATGGGGACAGCCTACTTAGTCAAATAAACAGTTCTTTCTTCTGCTAAAGGAGGTAAGAAATATAGAGTGTAAGCTATTATTTCCTAAGCTTATGTATCTTCTGTGATGACCCTCCTTGTATTTTGTTGACTACTCTCTCTCCTAAGAGACACGGTGACCTAACATATTCCAAGAACTGTTTATAACAGGGATCAGTATCTCACCATGTGACTTAAGCATTCAACTGCCTGGGAGATATAGGAAAAAAACCCTTCAGTATCAAGAATTTACCAGAAAAATAAGCCTAAATAGTCTTATTAAAGAGATTTTGCACAGATGTTTCCATTCAAGGTTGTTTAATGGAAACTGCACAGAGATCCACTTCTAATGAAGAAATTGTTTGTCGTAACTAGTTCAGTCAGACACTTTTGAATATATGGGTTTGGTAAGTGCTATAATTAACAGCATCTTATTTTTAAGCTAACTGAATAAATGTTCACTCTCATAATTATTCTCTCTTAAAATGTGAAAATAATAAATTTTAGCTGTGCCGATTGATTTGGCATCAGTGAAGTCAACAAGAGATATGTAGATGATTAAATGATTCATTGCATTTTGTACATACACAGAAAGATAAATCTAATTGTGTTTTACTTTTTTTTAAAACATATTGTGTGGTATCTATAATCAGTGGGTCCAGATGACTCAGAAAATATATATACTGTGGAGTTCAGATGTTAGCAAGAACAGCTGAATTTCCTAGATTTCTGCTGCCATCTGCTTGCCAGTGCTTTACTTATCATGTACACCACAAAAGTAAGTGCTGCGTGCTCCAAGTTATGACAGTAGTAAATTGACTCAAAAAGCTTAACTGAAGCTACTGAAAAGTAAGATCACAGGAATTCAAAGTGCAAAAGCTACACTGTACTACCTCTGCATATTGATATACCTCACCACCCTAAAAAGAGCAATGAAAATTTGCACTGCAATGCAGATTAAATACTAGAAGCTATTACAGAATAGTAGTTCCAGTTTCACCATGAGGATAAACCCTAGAACTGCAAGTTCCTCTCACACACATTTCTTCTTTAGAGTTAAAATTTTAACAGATTACATATCCCCTCTCCTGACTAATCTATTTACTTGGCAGGACAGTAAGACACATGATGTCAATCATTTACTCATACTAACTCACTTTTGTGGTGAAAATGGAGCCTGCTCTCCCTTGCTGAACTACACCTAGCTAAAAGGGGATGATTTGATAAGTGAATTAGAAATGAAGTCTGAAAGATCTTTTCATAAGCAGTGTGCACTTTGCCTGAAAAACTGCATGCAGTGAACGAATTTCAAGCTGTACACATGCACAAAGCATGAAGTCCCTGCCTGGCACTACCTGTGTTTGCAAAGACCAGTCCAAAAGGCTTTCATCAGGCATGAAGACTGCTGGTCATTGACATCTGTTTTTTGATCAGTAGCTACAATGCAGCTGTGTTTGTTTATACTTGTTTCAAATATGGGCTCTTCTCCACACTGATCTAGAAGGCAGAGGGAGACTGCTGAACTACTCTGAATCTGATGTCTGTTTTACAGCTCATTTTCATGCATTACATTCACAAGTGAATTTGCATGGAAGGTAAAATATATGTACAAAGCAACATCTATATATCCATACATCTGCGCACCCAGGCATAACACTTAGATGTTTGTTTAAACAACCTATCTCTGGTGGTGAAACATGTAAAGACACACAGATGTCCTCACTATATGCACATCCCACACAAGCCCAAGCAGATGCAGCCCACACACAGCATGCACAATTGCACATGGATGCCACATGCACTCCTCCCAGTCAGACAGCTCTGCAGCCCACTTTTCCCCAATCTCCCCTGAATGCCTTTTTTGCCCAACTCCTTCATGCCTCCCTCCATTCCTGTCAAAACAGTAATTCCTAAGAGTATTGTACAAACCTTTGTTGGTAACTTCCCAAGAAACTTCAAAGAGCAACAAATCCTCCACTGGTAGATCTTCATCCTCCCACTGAGGAAGCCCATTAAGAGAAGTAATGGACAGTGATCTAGCTAGTGGCATTTTCTTCAGCTCCTCAGTGCTTACCATGCAGGCTACAACAGTCACCAAATGTCCAGCTAATGTGGCAGTTCTCTCCAGTTCTGATTAGAACAGCCGCCTGGTGTGCTGGGCTCCGAGGAGAAAATTATTCAGATAGCCGGGAGCTAATGGGTTTAGACCGTCTTACCACCAGCATTAAATTGGCTTAGTGAAATCCTCAGAGCTTGAGAAGCAGCTGCTGGTAGAGGTAAGAATTTAAGACTGACCTGAGAAAGGTCTTGACTGTCTTGGAACCAGGGATCTTTCTTTTTCCTCTTTTAGAGGGAGCTAAAAAATGATTTTGAACTCCTCAGCCACAGCATTCAGTATCTACCACCTCAGGAACAGCTGAAACTCAATGGTTGTAAATTCAGCACTGCCCTAAGCAAACTCCACCAGGGAGGACACTTTGAGTTCACCACCTGATTTGAGGCCAGCCCCTGAGTCCTCCCCTCAAGCTACGCCCTCCCATTAATACCCATGGACCTTCTCTATCTGCTGGCCACTTACCAACTGGGTTAGTAGACTCATTCTGTATGATGTCTCTTAGATTACTTGCCAGGTTAAATGCTGTTACCTATTCTTGCTCATTTCATCAGTCTGTAAGCACTAGTTTACCTCATACCCCTCCTCCACAATTAGCTCCAGCTGTGTTGGCAGGGCTCTGCACAAGCTGTTGGCTTCATTCTGCTCTCAAACCAGGCCTACAGGCCTGAAAGCTTTTACAAACAGAGCTACAAAGGCCCTATCCCTACTTTGGCATGCACTTTGGCCCTCCTTGCAGTCCTGGTCTCTGATTTTCCACCTAGTTTCTCTTCTCCTATGCCACAGCTCTTTCCTGCCGTAACGGCCCATGTCCTTTACCCAGGTAAACTAGTGAGTAATAAGTCAGGGAACAGTACACCTCTGTCTTGCTCCAGCACAGAGCTGGGATGCTGCAAGCTGTGCACACACATCTGCAGATATGTAAGCCCCTAATGTGCAACCTGAGATCCTGAAAGCTCCACAGAGCAGCTGCCTGCTTGGAAGATGCTTATGTGCTTACATGTCTGGTTGAGAAGCCAGTGCTTCTGGGACAGCTGTGTAAATTGAATCCAATGCTGAGCCTAGAGCACAACCTGCTCAAAATCCTCAGCTCAGTGGTGAGCAAATCTCCAGGTGAGATCCAGGGCATCTCTGGCACTGTGGAGAATAACATTGCACAAGCAAGCATGGACTACATAGTAACATAGAAGTAAAGGCTCTGAGCTCAATTAAGACAAAACAAGTCCAAGGCAATTGATTTAAAAGCAGGTCACCTGTGTAAGACCCTCATAGATATAATACAGCTGAGCCTAGCTTAACAGCTAGCTATCCTACAAAAGACTTGCTATTCCACTTAGGCTTCCCATTCCCTTTCTGTGCTTACAGCAGTCAGACCTGTCCCTGAGCTGATGGATACAGCTCACTGAACTGACCTTAGGATGCAGAAAACGTTTTTTGGCAAGTTAGGAACTAGAGCAGTCTCTGCAAAGGACCTAGTAAGAGGGGGTGGAGCAGCACGTCTGGGAACAGGGAGAGACAGGAAAGGTGAGAGTGAGTGCTGCCTTGCTTTTCCAGCCAGTGGATCTGGTGGGTGGGCTCAGCTGTGCTGTGCTGCTTCACCCCAGCTAGGCTTTGTGTCTGGGGGAAAAAAGTTTCCCTTCTAAGTTAACTGGAAGGCATTACAGCCTGCCCATTGAAGGATTCAGGGGTTTATTGGCTAGGTGTCTTTTTGTCTCAATGGTTTGAGTTGCACTATTTATCAGTTTATGAAAAAAAGCCTAGACATGAATCATTATTTTTGGAGATGCTGTGGTTTTTACTAACTGGGATAGGAAACCAGATCATCCTGTAGGTTAAAAATTGTGTTACTTGAAAGAAAAAACAGTAATACTTTAAGAGAATCTTCATTTCTGAACCATCAAACCTACCTGAATCACATTTTCACACTTTTCCATGGAAACCCTGAGGGCGAGGCTGAAAGCTGTGTCTCACAAAGACCATCTCTGGTGGTTGGAGAAAGTAAGAACAAAGCAGCCCACAAGCCTGTCCTAGTCCCACTGCTTTCGTCAGCCCTGTGTCAACAAATGCACTGCAAATCCAGACATTTTAGCAGGGCCAGTTAGCCCACAAACCCACCTCACTAATTGCGGCCTACGGACTGAGTCCCAGAGCGCAGCGGCGGGGGGCTGCTTCCCGCCTCGCCCTCAGTAGCAGAACTGCCGGTGGGGTTGGTTTGTAGCATTAGAAAGTATGCACAAACCTTTATTTCATAGCAAAAATGAGCTTGCCCGAGGAACTCGCACCTGCTCGCTCTAATTACAAGTCACTACCACTAGCTGCAGCTTCCCAGAGGGAAACCAGGTGGCTTCGCAGGTGCGTGAGCCCCATTGTCCGGGCTGGCTGTGTACCACTGTCCTCCGCAGGCCTTTGAACTGCACTCAGGACATCCTGCTTACACCGGTTACCTCTCCAGAGGTGACATACAAACCTCTAGAAGTGATACCAGATAAACAGTGGCACTGGCTCACTGACATAATCACTGTCCCCAAGCGTTCAAAAGCTTAAAACCCATGCCAATACTTTTAGAACAGTGAAATGAAGTTGTAATAATAATTTTTTTAAGCTCTTTGTATAGTCTGTGGTTTTCAGGTTCTTAGGTATCATGTTTATTCCTTTTTATTGTTGTTGCTCCCCTGTAATTAGGGGATACTTATTTTACTTATTTTTTTGGATTTGGCAAAAGGCACCTATAAAAAGCCCCTAAAACCTTGGAGAATGGATTTGAAAGAATCATCAGATACTATGAGGTAATTTCATAAACACTGGTAACACCATTATTGTGTGAACCTGGGCAACTCATGTAACTATCTTGTACTTCGTTTTTATCTTTGACAGGTTAGAGATAATACTCATGCAGGTTTTTAAGTGTTTCTGATCTTCTGACAAGAAATGCTCAATAGCACATTGAACATTAGTATTCCTTCATATTCTGAGGAAATTTGACTTTATTCAATCTGTATGTCTTAAAGAAGCTTTTTTTTTTTTCCCCACAGTGCTGTCCCAGATTCCTGCTGTTTGGTATTAGTGAGAGAAAAGTGTATGAAGTGTCTAGGAAAGGTTAAATCCAATAGGCAGTTCAAAAACTTTCATCCCTGCAAATGCTCTCAATTGCTAGAGAGCAAAGGGCCTTATTCATTGTATTTATGGCCTGCCAGGATTAAGTGTGGGATCTCTGTGATGCACCTGGAGTTACCTGTTTACTGCCATAAAGGAGATAATGCCTGTAGCTGTGCACCTACAGCAAAATGACCTTTCCAGGAGAAAAACTATATTTTGATATTAAGAATGGGCAAACTTGGCACACACAGTGGAGAGGGAGTCACCAAGAGCAGAAGGGTAGTCACTAGCTATACTCCATATGAAGTGCAGTGAGGGGCAAGTGGTGAAAGGGATTCACTGCTGACACTAGAACAATGTGTCATTTTTGTGACACAGGCAGGGAAAGGTTGTGACTATGATTGTAGAGTTTGTTCCTTTTCATCAAAACAGAGGACAACTGCTGAAGTGAGAAGATGGAAACATACCCAAAATAGGAGCTTTTAAAATATAACATCGATTAAAATATTTTCCAGAAATCTGGAAACAGTAAAACTGCTTTTGAGTCTGGCCTATCTAAATTCTCATATTGCTCTCAGTCCCAAGGTATACAGATGCCCTCTGGTAATGCATTATTCAGTGTGTCTCAATTCTGCCAGACACCATTTATTATCCCATCAAATTCTTTTTCAGCCCACAAAAGTAAAATATTTTTGCTTGCAAGTATACTAGACAATAAGACAACTGAGTCTGCAATGTCTTTGAAAAGAAATCGTACAAAGCATGTATTGTTTTTCCCAAATTTCCCACAGTTCTCTAGAGATAGCAATGCAGGGAAAATGCTGTGAATTTTGACCTACCTAAAATGCTTTTTGAAACTGTTATCTCCCAGGGTGTAGTCTTCTCTGCACGTTTTGATCCACCTCCTTCTATTTGGGTAGAGCAATGTTTTTTGCAAAAACTAACTCAGCACATCACCCCAGGATGTGAGTCATGGATGTCATCTTCACACCACAGTCCTTCCAGAAGAACCACTTCATACAGTCTTTTTAGTTGGAATATCAACGTCAGCCTTCCTGGCTGCAAGTGAGAAGGTATGTGTTAGGGGAAGAAACGCTCTCAAAGTGTGGGAGTTTATAATGAGATAATTATCTAGGTGTGGCTTGTTCTAAACATAACTGGGGTTTCAAGGTTTGCCTATGTTAACTGTAGGGGAAAAAAATACATAGATGTTAAAAATGCTCATAAACATTGAGTCAGATTTTACAGGAGGAAGCTATGATGGTTTGTAGCATTGATGTACACAGACTGTAATTTAGAAATATCTCAGTAGGTGGCACTAATGGTATTAATATGAGTTCTCAAGCGTCTATTGTTTTGTTTGACCAAAAGGCTTATGCCTCTCAATAAATCCTGGTCCATGACAAACTTTAGTTTTATGAAGCCCGTGAAAACAGAATCACAACACGATCAGTAAAATGGGCGATCTTCATCTGGAAGAAAAGCCCTTGCCTCAGGCTGAGACACAGGAAGAGAGGAAAAGAAGAGTGAAGACAGGATCCTTAATAAAATGAGCTCTTAGTACTCAGCAGTGTGGGCTGCCATGGCTAGAGCAACCCTTATGAAGAAATTTAAGGAACTTAGAGATAGAGACTGAACTTTATTTTGTACCCCTGGAAGTAATATCCACTCTTCTAATGGGTCATATTACAGACATTTGTATGCTAAGGATGCTGTTGACTTAAAAAAAAAGAAGTATGATAACATTTTTTTTTTCTCTTCTCCCCAGCTTTTTGTTCCTTCCTTTCTTTTTGCCTTTTGAACTTCATTGTGGTATTTCCTGTCTTTAGTTACCTAACTTTTAAAGGTGTTCCTTTGATCTCCATGTGATGTAGGTGTCTTTTTTACCCCACTGGAAGACCTCACTGTTTATTACCTTTGCAATTTAGGTGTACTAATGAACCTTTTTAGAAATATTTTAGAAAAAACCTCAGATTTTTGCTTAATTAAAAAAAAATATTTTCCAGAATTTTAAGTTAGAAATATCTATTTTCTGTAGTTTAGTTTTATGTTATACAACCACAGTAAGATGTCAGCTACATTTTTTAAACCTTTCTAAAGAGAAAAGGGTAACGTCTTACTACATTTTGCTTCAGAATCTAGTAAATCTCATTATAAATCTCAAAGTGGTAATGAAAATTAGAATAGTAAAGCAAACCTGCCTAAGTGATGTGTCTAAATTGTTCAACAGCATCCTCCTCCTTTTTTAAAGAGCCTTTGTGATCAGACATCTTAGCTCTGCTGGCCACTTGCCAAGCTGTGCTGGGGTCTGAAACCTGATAGGAGAGCTGGATTATGATGGACAGACTTTCTGTAATAAATAAGACTTAAGAAATCCAGAAGGAGTATACAGTTATGCATAAGACTGCTAGAGATGTTGAGGATCTTTAGTTACCCTTAAAGCATTTGGCATTCAGTATATGATCAAACTCTAGTCAAATTTATTGTAAACGTGTCTGTTAAAAATTTTTGGAGCTTTACATCAGGTCCTAGTAGCTGATAAAATCAGGACCTGTTCTAAGGATTTGGGGGACACATGTCTGTTAGCTCAGCTACCCATCCCTTTTTCTCTAGTTGAGACACAGCTATGACTCTATGACTTTGCTCCATTCGATACCCATGGTAAATTGCTTACTCATCAAATAGTTTTGGTGGTTCCTAAGTGTTTATCAGCCTGATCTTACTTTCCTAATACTGTAGGCTAGAAAATCATGTATTATTAAGCACTGTAACCTTGGAAGATGACTTGAGCCTCAAACTCAGCATTCTGGGATAAATGGTTGTTGAGAAATTCCTGGCTGAGGATATTCCCAAACTGGTAAAGGCTTCCTCAATCCTGAATCCCAAACATATTAAGTATAATTGTATATGATTATAAGCCCCTTAAAGCCACAGACTGACAGATATTGGTTTACATCAGCTCTACACACTATTTTGTATGTATCTGTTAAAATACTAATAAAAATGCAAAAAAACCCCAGGTCTCATGGCATTTAATTTAGTTTTAGAGAGAAAACTGCCCATTCAAAACTGTAATGACTGATGAGAAGGTAATAGCAGTTGTGTGGCATGATGAATAGACAAACAATTTTATTTTCCTACCACAGCAGAATACCTATGAAAGTAAAAGGACTGAATGCTTCAGAACAGCCTATGAGCTCCTAGGAGCGTTGCTGACTGCTCCTTTTGCAATGGCTGCTGTCTTTAGGCTGGATCATTGAGGGCCTTAGCTGTTGGGGAATCAGGCCCCGTCAGCCAGACTGTTCATTTTTGCTGCCATTTACCTGTTTACTGTGTGGGCTTTCCTGAGCTTCTAGCTTTGCTGTGCAAATGTCAGGAGAAGTGAGGCTGCCTGTGCAGTCAGCTGAGGGTTCCCCAGCATTGCTAGCAGCATACCAAAAAGCTGTTGGAGGACAAAGCTGTTTGCAGAGAGAATATCTCACTGAGAGCATAGCTCATTTTCTAGCACCTTGGTCACTTAGGGTCATTGCAGACTTTAGGGAAGATGAGGGAGTTGTTCAGAGATGCTCTAGGACCAACCCTAATCACCTGCCTGAACTCAGCAAGTTTAGATCATTCCAACTGTGAGGCAACAGCCTTCACACATGTTTTGTGCAAGTCCAAAAATTGCTCCAAATCTCACATGAGTGGAGAATTGTTCCTTTCAGTTACAGTGACCCTGTGAAATGGCCAGTAGGGAGAAGAGGCTATGAAACATTTTAAGTTTTGGGGAGTGATGTGACATAATGGACTTTTCTCAGTGACATCTGGTGTACGTTTTGTCCCAAATAGGCACAGAGTGCTTGGGCTCCAGGACACACCACACAAAAGACATTCAGATCAGGTGGTCTGAGAGGCTGACATTCCCAGCTCTGCAGAGCATTGTGGCCTCTACTGCTTCATCCAGGAGAGTAAGAATGAGAGTTAGCCATCCTGCAGATACTGATTTGCCAGTAGCAAGTTTAATGTTAATCCTTTTGGACCTGGCTTTGGAAAAAGATGTCAGGGTAGCTTGGCCACTAGGCTGGATCCTGCATCCTGGATAAGCATCAGAATGCTATCATCCTATTTAAAGCTTAAAATAAATGCTGCAATGACCAAGTATCCCACTGAGGGACAAGACTGTTAAATGCATAAAAGCTATGCTACAGATTATGTATGCCATATTCCCATGTGAGTAGAGATTTGGGAATGTTCCCATTTTTAAGTTGCCTCACCCCAGGCACCTGAAGTGATCTCTCCACAAAGGATAGATACACAGCCCACGCTCTCGCTTTCTGTAACTCCAGCCAGGCACTAGGCATTAGAGACTGAAAAAAACACGAGTTCTTTTGGGAAATAAATGCAGAGGCACATGCAAACACGATTTCTGAGAAACACCAAGATTTTCTGCTATGGCTATAACTTGTAAAAGTAAAATGCAAGACTAATATACTGGTTTGCCTGTCTTTTCTACTGTACAGTGCCATGCTCCCACTTACAATTCAGACTCATGTACAAAGACACTCACAAACACTTGCATAGATATCCACACACATATTTGCTTTGATATTTACTTGTTTTCTGGGGTCAGCACAGTGTTTGTATCATATTTAGCATGGGGATTTGTCAGGGTCTTTGTGTGACTTGTGGTATTTTCCCATTAACTGCGAGTGGTAATGACAGAGACACTGGTACCTCACTTGCCTAATATTCTGGGAGTTTCCCTTTTTCTTGTAATTCCTTTTCTCATAATTGTTCTTCCTTTATGTTACATCAGAGGGGACTCTTAATTTTTGTTTTTGTTTTGTTTTGTTTTTGTTAGAAATGTTAAAAAGTTCAGGCTAGGTATGAATTCTTAGTATATCTCTTATCCTGTGTAACCTTGAAGGAATTGTTATCAGGGCTGGCAGCTCAGCTTCACAGAGCTTATCTGCACCTCCTAAAGTAGGAAGGACTGCATAATTTTACTCCTCTCACTTCTAATAAAGGTTTCTATGCTTCGACAGACTGGGCTGTGAACTCAAAGGTGTAGTCCTGAAAGAGGCATTTCCATTCATTCAGCTATGTCAATATATTAAGGACTTTTGGTATAGTAAGAACTTCATAAAAAACAGGTTATCCCATGATCAGCATTAAGATTGAAGTTTAACATGTTGAAATTTAACCCCATTCAACAAACCACTTAAGCATAAATCCTACTCAGGGGAATATAGGCACTTGATCTAAGGTGACTGTGGTCTTAACTTCTTTTCTGAGAACCGCTCCACTGACTTTGAATGCCCTTGAAGCATGTCGAAAGAGATGGTTCTGTTTATTCTTCTTCTGACTTTTATCTTTAAAAAAAAAAACCAAAACTGCAGCATTCAGAATCAGTCCAGTACAGAAGTAATTTTAAAAATACTCATTTCCTTCTACTGCACAACAATTTGCTATGGGAAAAACAAACTCAGTAAAATGAACAGAAGGTCAACAAATACTCTTCTAGACTGATCTTCAGTCTGAGAGTATCAGGGACTACCCTATTGTCATATGTTGGTAGGGAAATTAGTTTGATGTGATTCTTAGACATGGTAATCACTCCTGATTCCCAGTGATATTGGGAGAGTATTCTAGTATCTACTACTGGTGGAGACTGCTGGAGACCTTGGAAATTATTGTGTTTCTGTCTTATTGTCTGAAATACAGAATTAGCAGCACAGATCAAACTATCTCAAACAAAACGTATCTTTTCTTCCCTTTGTGTTTTCATTTAAAACATGTCACAGAGGAAGAATTATGAATATTCCCTTCCAGAAAGCGATGCTAATAGGAATACACCTTCATGCTGTTTTGACAAATTTCCTGGATTTTTTTACCTCAGATATTGAATGTGTAAACATTTCCAAATCATGTTGAAGAGCTGTCAAAGAGGAGAGTATAAGGGAGAAAATATTCACTCAGAAATCTTACTTTGCATAGCCACGGCCTGGGCCAGACTGTTGTTGCTTATGTTTGCAGGTAAATTATTCATTTCAGCAAATCCAGCCCTCCTGAGTCTAACCTCTGAAATAGACGAATCTAAGTTAATTATTTGCATGACTCCTTTGCTTGCACAGAATAACTCACATAGCAATGGTATCTCAGGAGCGGTTTATAAAATTGTAGTGCATCACAGTGATTGGTGTGGATTTTAGGAAGACCTTGGCTACTGTAGTTCATTAAGAGCTTTGAAAGTTTTAACTTACATAAGGCTGAATTCACAGATGTGCATTAGGGGAGAACTATTCACAAGGAAAGAAATGCCCCAAATTAGGCATTGGCCTGAGAAGCCATTACACTATGGCATTGTGTCATTCTGGACCACAATATATGGATCTGACTTTTAAATGTTTTTGGGCTCCAGGTCATGCTGACATTGTTGAGAGTTCAACATTTACATTCCACTGAGAATTTGTGGCTTAATTGTTCGATTTATAACCATAGAGGAAAACAGCATTTCTTTAGGGCACAAGGCTGACATGAAGTACATAAACACACCAGTAATGGGAACTCTGTGAGCAGTTTCAGACACAAGTCACCTGCTTATCATACAACACAGTTCTGAGTTAGCTGGTATGGAAGTCATATAAGCACTACTATTCTACCAAAATGCATATCTAAAACATTTCCATCTCTCTACACCTACATGTTCTCTTTAATGCTCTTTCAGTCCCAGGCATGACAAGCAAGTACTGGCTATTTTATGGTTTATATTTACTCCATAATTGTGATTAAGAAATAAAGCTTTGGGATTTTTTAAATCTGTTCTTCTAAGTATATAAGAACTTGTGAAAATCATCTATTTTAGATATTAAAGGCCCAATTTGACTTGTTCTATAAACATGATTACTGTCAGGCTCCAGTCTAACTATAACAATAACGCTTGGATTTTGGTAATCAAATAGAAGAGACTCTTGTTTGTTCTAAACATTATGAAAACTAGACACCAATAACAAGCAAAAGAACTGAATCCAGAGAGAAGATCTGCAGAACCCCTTTTCTAGGCCAGTGGCATACAAAATGTTGGCGTATTTTTAGCAGGTAGCCCAGAGGCATATCCCCATTCCATTTCTTCTACCCATCAGTAAAAAAAAGTTAGTACTGTATCAGAAACAAGTCTAGGAATATGATTTAGTTTCAGTCCAGATGTTGACTAAATCATAAAAAAAAGGCTTCCAGTAAGGTTGTACTAGTGAAATCCCACCATGGGCAATTACTACATCGTTTCTAACCTTTAGAAAGAACATGTGTCTACACTTCCATGTTATCAGTGGCACACATTAAAGGAGAATGCTAGAGTAAGCTAGATAATTTAAATACTGAAAATAAGTCACTCTGACAAAACATGCCTGAAAGTTGCTTTATTTGTTCATGAGGTCTGTGCATTACAGCAAGCGTAAGTTTAGCTACTATGGACAAAGCTCAGCCTGAAAGAGCATTAAATGTCAACTATTAAAATGTACAGTGAGTCGAGCCCATATTTACGCACACAACACGCTGCTTTTCTATTGCTGGAATCTAACATTCATGAGTTAGAGATCCTTTATGTCCTTCTGGATGTTCCACAGTGTATCTGCGCTCTTCTTCAGCTGAGCCACCTCATCATCCTTCAGCTTTTGGTTGATGACACTTGACAATCCAGAGGCATTCAGGACAGCAGGAAGGCTCAAGAAGACATCAGTCTCAATGCCGTACATGCCCTGCCACAATCAAGAGATCACTCAGATATGAACCCATCACCCCAGATCTGCTTTTAGTTTATATAGCAGGAAGCCTTCTGAAAGCAGAGCTCAAGACTATCATGTTGCAACCTGCTGAGAATTCAGTCACACTGTATTTGAGCAAATAAAAAGTACAGAGTTGTTTTAGACCAGTGATTTGCAATACTGAGATGGCTGATTTCTGAAACCCCACCTCCAAACCCCTCACTTTTCTTTATATATAGCTAGCTGCCGACAAAATTCAAGACACAGGATTAGGGCTGGTCTCTTCTCTTACTATAGAGGGAGCAGTAAATTCAGCCTGCTCTGAGTCCTTGCTGCACCAGAGGTTATACAGCTGGTATAGACTAGATGCAGCCAGTTACACCAGCTATAGGAGGACACAGATCTCTTCCCTAGCACCTTTGACAGGAAGTGGTTCATGGAATCACAGCTGGGCCTCCGTGAAGTTCTTTATTTTTGCACTGAAACTTCCTTTTAATAAGTCTGCATGCCACACATGGTAGCTTTACACAAGGGTAGTACAACATTGAGTACAGAGAAGTTAGTTTCAGCTCCACACTCATGAGGAAGGTCAGCTAAAAGGCCAGACTAGAAAAAATTGTGATAGTATGCTCCTGTTTTAAATTCATAGTAGTATTTTCTAAAGCTTCCTTTGTTCATCACCTTGCTAATTGAGACTACTTAGCTTTTCCACAACAACAAATGAACTGGAACACCCAATTAGCTACCACTTCTTACCTTTACCAGTGTTGAGACCGAATGAATCCGGCACATGTTCTTTATCATGGTCTCACAAAGTTCAGCAACGCTAAGGCCAATAGCCCAGTTTGTGTATCCTTTAAGTCTGATTACCTCATAGGCACTAAGGAAATATTGAAATACAGTTGCATTAGATGTCTTCAAGACACTGCTGAATGCTAAGTCTTAAGATGAATGAACAGTTCCCATTTAAAAAAATCTGAAACTCGTGACATATTTTAAGTTTTGGTATCAAAGTATCAGTCACATACTGCAGCATTAGAGGATAAAGGATAAAGTTTACATTATCCCATATGTATAATAAAGAAGCCCTCTTCTCACAGGATTAGCTGAACAGAAAAATAGCTTCCATATATGAACAGTTTTTAGTGTTAATTAGAAAACCAGACACCTACAACGGAACAAGGTCTCTATTCATGTCAGTGGCACAATCATTCTGAGTGCATTTGGAATAGATAAACATTTAGAGTCAAAGCCATGCAGTACCTACCCACACATCCTAATTTAACATCTATGTACGCTTTATACCAGTATAGTCTCACTTGTGAAATAAGGACAAGTGATTTAGAAACACATAGTTACCTCTATACAGATTACCCTAAATCAATGAACAAGTTTTCCCAAATCAATTCCAGAGCTCTGCTCACTTTCTTAGAGTCTTGTGCCCTTTGTACAGTTAACCATTTAAGAAGCTACTTATGAGAAAAAACGTGCACACAGCTCTACCCACAGCATTACTAAAGTGGATACGTTATGCAACAGTTTCACTGCAGCATAATAAAGTTTACCAACTGAAATCCTGCATTTCTGTGTTTAAACTAGTAGTTCCACTTACTCATGCAACCCTCTAAATAAGAGGATGAAAGCTGCAGCAGAATAGAGAGGCAGTGACAAGGTGGCAGCATTCAACTAGCTATTTTCAGCATCACTCATATCCACCTTGTTCTTCAAGTCATTATACCTGTCAACCACTTGCTTGTGGACATCCTTCCAGTTCTCACTATCTTTGTCAGTTCCTATGGCAGGATTCAGTTCCTGGAGAGAAACGCCAGCCACGTTAATTCCACTCCAAACAGGCACTGTAACAGAGAAAGGACGTAAGTTTCAATAGCACTTAGCAACTCCCCCCTTGTTTTTCCTATTTAAGATAACTAGAAACAGAATAGTAGTAGCCAGAACCACAATCATATCTGAGGCAGATATTCAAGTTTTCACTTAAGTACAATTAATTCTGAGAACTCTGGGGGTCAAATATGAGACTGTTTTAGTACTGACACTTTAACAAGGTAATTGCAATACATGAACAGAACTTTCAGTCCTTGGAAGGTGCAGCTACTTTTGAAGTCAGGAATCTCAAATTCTAGCAAAAAGGCACATCTTAGCTGTTCAACCTTTTAAAACTAATTTTACTCAAAAAGCAGCAAGTATGTATTTGCTGTCCCACTAATGAGTATTAGGGTTAGCCTTCAAGAATTCTATTCTTATTTCCCTAAATAATAGGGTAGCAATATGCAAGCTTAGAATATCGAGGCGAATTTGCACATCTCCCTTCATATTGAAAGCTTACAGGCAAACTCATTCTCTGTTCCTGGAAATTCTTAAGTTACTTCAAAGCAAAAGCAGCTATAACACTGAAGCAGTATGAGCTGTGTATGCACAGCCAAGCTCTGTTTTCATTAGTGTAGGACTGGCTTCAGTAAATACTGTTATTGATCAGACACTGTACTTTGATCAAATGCAATGGGACATTGAAGAGGTGGCTCCCTCAGAAATATGTAGCACTACAGCAGTACCAATCTACATAGATGTTCTGCTGTATCATTAAAGACTTGAAATATATGAACTGAATTAAGACAACTAAGCTTCTTGGATTTCACATGGTTTTAAAACCATCTTCTCTTAACTAGCATGGAGAAAAGTCACAAGATAAAGTATAATTTTGTTAGGCCAATTCTGGATTGCTAGCTGCTTCTACTTGCAACAAGCTCTGCCACTGGCCTAACAACAGCTAAAATTGCTTTCAGAGGAGAACTGAGCTACATGCTATGTCATGATCCTCCAAAAACTGATAAACAGAAGTAGTAAGCTGTAGCCTTTAGGACACAGCTTTAGCTAACAAAATTGGCCTTTTCAGTTCAGTATTTAATCATACAGCCACACTCACTTTTATTTTTAAAAGCGTAACTAGATTTACTGGACTTGTCTCAACTCTGATCTTCATAAAAATACAGCAAAGTGCTAGTTACCCAAGGTCAGCTGCATCCACTCTTTCAGAGTTTTGTAACACCACTTAGGCCTCAACCTCTAACATTGCATTGCTTACTCCCAAGGTGGTCAGAATTGCTCCTTACCACTAGAATCACCATGTTCTCCCAAGATCCAACCATGGCAGCTGGTTGGGTGGATACCAAGTCTCTCAGCCATCAGATAGCGAAATCTAGCTGTGTCTAGATTGCAGCCACTTCCAATCACACGGTGTTTTGGCAGGCCACTCAGCTTCCATGTGACATACGTTAATATATCCACTGAAAAGGAAAACATGCCCGGTGAATTAAACCATTCACATACACCACGAATGCTTCAACAATTACAAGTAATAGGGCAATCAGGAGGACTCAGGACAGTTGCGCTCACTGGTCAAAGTATTTTAGGTCTGACTATTTGGGGGATTAAAATGAATGCACTGATTGAAATTTAGGACCCACCAAGCTACTGTTCAAAGAAAACCGAGATAGGTCTTTGGAGCTTAGAATCCTACCAGCTAAAGATGGAGGCACTTTTGTCACGCTTAAACCCCTAGGGCATCCAGAGCTGGGACTGAATCATGTGGCTGAAACATTCAAGCAATTTCCTGAAGCAATGTTACCTTCTGCTTCACCACAGTAAGAGGTAAAGCAATTTACACTTAGGCATGTTTAAGATTTACATATTCTGTTTCTAGCTGGTAACTGCTTCGGTTTAATTTGTTGAGCAGATTCATGCATTAAGCAGTTTGTGAACTGATTAACTCTAACATGAAAAGCCAGATAAGCAATATGCTTTAACTGCATGCAATTTTAGAAAAAAAAAAAAAAAAAAACCAAACAAAAAAAAACAAACCTAGGTTGGGGCAGACAGAGAGGGATGTAAGCAGAGTGAAACACCTCTAATCCACAGCTCAAGGCAACAGTAATAAGCAGTCTGCAATAATTATGTCTCCAAAACTCTCAAAAGCCAGACAGTTCTCAGGAAGGAATATTATTTGTGTATATGGATCTGAAATACACTGTTTGCTCTGCTCAGGCACCAAAAGAATGTCACCTGAGTACAGTTCACACCTTGCTGTTACAAGTGGCATGCTCATCAGGCACAGCTTCCCTACAGCTTTGCGGGGGGGGGGCAGTTCCCACCAGGATCACAGTAATCTGTACAGACTACAGAGCACCTCCCTATCAAACAGCTATAATTGCCCCAGTCTGGCTTTCAAGTCAGATTCTGAGACACACATCCAGACATTAAGCTCTTCATTGTAATCTCATCATTTGCCTACAGTAGAGCTTTCCACAGGACAGGCTGTGGACAGTGCTATCTGAGCTAGAGCACAGACAGATCCAGGGAGGTTAAACAGGGACAGACATCAAGGTCACACACCAACACACATGCAGAGGGCAGCCCTGAAGTCCCTTTGGATGGCTCACAATAACTTCCACTATATAAGACTAGTGGACAAAACTCTACACATTTTGAAAAAATAAAGCATTATAAAAATAATTCTGAAAAAACAACATGAAATTCTCCTCCTGCAGCTGCTCTACTGGAAAGTAGTCTGTAGTCTGAATTCACCCTTGCTAGAACAAGAATAATTTGATCTTTGACTCAGTTTGATTTTTAGATATGTTTTAAATTGCTGTAAGTTACTGCACTTGCACAGTACCATTTGCTCAGTACACTAGTATTCAGTAGACCAACAGTACACCAGCTAATTACTCAACCACCAGCTGAGTTGCTAGCTTTACATGCACGGTTTTGACTCTGCAAAGTTATCTTAAAAGCAGAATCACTTCATTGCCACGGTTCTGGAGTAATGGCTTCACTCAGATGTTGAATCAGACAAAGGCAACCCTACAGAGACACCCTACAAAGTATATCAATGTTTGTAATCAGCTTTAGGCACTCAAATAACCAAGCTGTCCCAGTGCAATGATATGCTTGCAAGTAAGCACACAAATGTGTAATCAGTTATAACTAAGTCTCTTCTAATCTAACTGAACTATATAGCACAGTTAGGCTTTCCCACACCATAGGCTTCAGCATGCATTTTTCCTGAAACTACAGCCAAGAAAGACTATAGGGTAAGTTCTTCATCTTGAAGAATGGCCATATCCTATCCAGATACAACAGAAATTTATGATTCACAAACAATTTAAAAGCAAAATGGATATGTCTCGTTTAGAGATAAAAATTTTAAACTACCTGCTACTTAAGCCAAAGTATGTAAAAAGTATTTACCATGTGGCATGCTTTTAAAAAAATGGACACCATGAGAAGTTCTGAATAAAGAGCATTGGAAAGTACAGAATGTTTGTTTGCATTCTGCTGTTAGCAACTACATGGCAGATGTCCACACAACTTCCAACACTCAATCAGTATTTGAGAAGATCGATATAATAAAACTCTAGTTCTCCAGTAAACATAATTTGTAAGCATCCTAAGAAAAGACTGCCTTACCTGGGTTGGAAACCACCAGGATGGTGCAGTTGGGGCTGTATTTGACAACCTGAGGAATGATGAATTTGAAGACATTCACATTCCTCTGAACCAGGTTGAGACGACTCTCCCCCTCTTGCTGACGAACTCCTGCAGTTACTACCACAATCCTGGAGTTGGCTGTGACAGCGTAGTCTACAACAGAAGACAAAGAATGTGTTAGACTTATCACTAGTTTCAATAGCACTGTGTTCGTACTGGTTTTATGGATAGCTTCTCCACTGTGCATACATTCAAACTCAAAAAACACGAGACATCAATATTAAAGCCAGCATCCTCTCAATGTTGTTCTGATATATCAATATGTTGGTCTTTAGAGTACATTCAGCCCCTCTGCATCTCATTTACGCTATCCAAATAACTATACTATTTCTTCTGCATCAGAGGCACCAGAGTTTCATTAAAATCAATTTTACTCAAACAAGCCCAAAGCTGTGAAGTGGCCATTAGAGAAGTAAGAGAAAAACTCAGATTAAGAGCCACTCCCATTGTTATGGTGTTCATCTGAATTGTCACACTAATTCCCATACTTTAACTTTTCAATGATAAATCCTTAGAGTTCTTTAGGATTACACAATGCTCCACTATTAAGCAAATTCACAGAATATCAGTATTAAATAAAAGAAACTGAGGTTCACCTTTGTCTGCCACAATCTTGTGAGTGTGAAGGAACAAGCTCCCATGCTGTAGATCCATCATTTCTCCTTTTAGTTTGTCTTCCAAAACATCAACCAAAGCAAGCTCATCACAAAGATCCTGCAAAACAAAGTCTGAAGGAGTCAATGAAGCAGTTAACTTGCATTTTAAAGTTACCCCTGAGTTGAGCAATATTACATTTTAAAGTAGAATTGCACATCTGAATGCATCTCTTCTCCAAAAGTAAACCAGTAGGACAGCATTACCTTGGTGTTCTGATGTATGTCACAGTAACAAAGTCAAAGGCTACTACAGCACAGGTTCATAAAAGTCAGACTTCCCCAAAAAAGGTATTATTTTCAGGGAGTTTGACTGCACAGCTAACTCTTTATTAGCAAGGTACTGCATGATTTAGTTCTCTTCGGAAAAAAGTTTAATCTTTCAGAGTTGTAACAAACCCTCTAAATCTATCCAGCAAATAAGCCTATTTAAAATATTTAAATACTTAATAGAACATACCACAATATCAAATATTCTCTTGTAACATTCCTTCAACCAATTCATTTCACAAATATATAGAATGGGAACAGACTTAATTCATCAATACTAAAAATAGTATCAAAAGAAAACAGATTCTGTATCTAATTTTTCTTTACTAGAGATACTACATTGTATTTCCTTTGCAGAATAGATTTAGCCATGTATGCTTGTTGTCCAGCCAGGTTAAGTTGAAATATAATGTCTCAGAGTCTCAGAACAGGAAAACAGCGAAGCAGGGTGGGGTGGAAGAGGAAAAATGCATTCTGCTCTAATACAAAGTTTTACTGCCTTTTGACAGAAGCATTTACTATCCTTGTAAATTCTACTATACCTAAAGGCCTACAATTCTGGAAATTATACTGAGATTCAAATTACTACTTCTCTCTATTCTCCTAGGTATCTACACCCCATTTGAAAGCAAAGCCATTTTTATGCTATTGAAAAATATTATAGCAAGCAAGCTTGTTTACTTTTATATAAAAGTTAACACTCACTACTTCACATGGAAAGATTAATTATTAGCATCCACTAAGCTACTTTAAACATGCAACAATATGCACTGTTTTTCCTGTGGAAAGATATCTTTAACATCAGGCACATTTAAGTTTTTAATTTTATAGTTTAAAATAATGTTAATTGCTTTTTCGCAATGCTTCCTTTCACAGCTGATTCGATCAACTGTTGAAGGAAAACCATAAGAATCCATATCTGCACTTGCTCTGTTCTCAAAATAGTCTGCAGGGTAACATTAAAGTCTCAATTATTTAAACATTATGAAAAAGTAGCCTTAACTGAAGTCACTGGTGTTAAACTAAGAATTTGAGAAAAGAACATGTGCACATGTGCAATTATGGATAGGTTTATACACACAGTCTGACAATATGGGACTTTCAGTCCAGACCTTGCAACCAATATTCACCAGACTCAGCAGGTTCAAGGAGCCAGTTCTCACTGAAACTGAAGAGCACCTGGAATAGCTCCAGTGACTAATTTCAATTAATTTGCAGCAGTGGTGCCTACAGAAGAATTCAGCTCATTATTAACACACACAGGAATGAAGTCAACACAATCACCAAATGCAGCTTAAAATACTCTCATTGAAAACAGCTGACTTGTCACAGTGGAGATGTTCCCATTTCTAAAACAGTATGGCAATATCAGTGTCTTGTCTCTGAGAGGAAGCTAGAAATAACCAACATGAAAGTTTTAATGTCATTCAAATTTATACACTAAATACTACACCAGCAAACTGAAATTAGTATTATCACACCGTTTAATTTTATAAAATTCAAAACCATCAAACTCAATTGCATCTACATAGTAAAGCACAGGAAATTTAGTACAACATTTCATGCTATGCTTTAACAAAAAGACATCCTGGGGAGCCAACCATCTTGCACAAGTCAAAGCCATATCGTGTTGGTCAACAGCCAGCTGACTATGGGCCAGCAGTGTGCCCAGATGGCCAAGACCACCAACAGCACCCTGGCTTGTATCAGAACTAGTGTGGCCAGGAGGACCAGGGAAGTGATTGTCCCCCTGTACTTGGCACTGGTGAGGCCGCACCTCCAATACTGTGTTCAGTTTTGGGCCCCTCACTACAAGAAAGGCATTGAGGTGCTGGAGTGTGTCCAGAGAAGAACTACTAAGCTGGTGAAGGGTCTGAAGCACAAGTCTTATGAGGAGCGGCTGAGGGAACTGTGGCTGTTTAGCTAGGAAAAAAGAAGGCTCAGGAGAGACCTCATCACTCTCTATAACTACCTGAAAGGACATTGTAGCAAGGCGGGTGCTGGTCTCTTCTCCCAAATAAGAAGCAAGAGGACAAGAAGAAATGGCCTCAAGTTGCACCAGGGGAGGCTTAGACCAAAAGGTCCATTCACCAAAAGGTTTGTTGAGCATTCGAACAGGCTGCCCAGGGAAGTGGTGGAGTCACCATCCCTGAATCTATTTAAAAGACATGTAGACATGGTGCTTAGGGACATGGTTTAGTGGTGGACTGGTCAAGTGCAAGGTTAACAGTTGGACTTGATCTTAAAAGGCCTTTTCCAACCTAAGTGATTATACAATTCTAATTCAGTGACAAGAATTGGATGGTTTTACTATAAAAATGTTTTATACTGCAGCTTATACTTGTGAGAGAATAAGAGAGAGCAGAAGCCTGGTTGAAATAAACTCCATCATGCCATAAACCAAGCTTGAAAAATTTAGACCCAGCCTACAACTCATTAGTAGTAAAACTTTGTGCCTAGATTTCTGAAAGCACAATTTGACCCTGATTAGAGCACCATATAAAACACAGATGAATGCTGGACTGTAGTGAAGTTTGTGGTAACTTCACCTGGCTCCCTCACTGCCAACCTTACAGGCTACCATACTCCAAAAACAAACGAGTTCAGATGACATGACAAACATTTGCTTAAGTTATAAATATACGAACCCACAGTGAACTCATTAGTTTTTAAAACTGAAGAAGAAATTTAATGGGAAAACATTTGTTACTTTCACATCAGTACTTAGTTTCACAGTGGCCTTTTCTTACTGTCAGTTTTTCCTTGCTCACAAGGGTCATCAGCAAGTGAAAACGCTTTCAATTTTTTTTAATTATTAAAAACCCACTACTTTAAAATATGCACCCTCAAGGTAACAAGTAGAAGGAGGATCATCTCCAAATAAGATACAGCCAGCTTAGTAGTACGTGCAAGATTTTTGACCTCACTGTGACCTACCTGATTTAAGATCTGTCTCTGCAAATGGATAAAGCATATCTATTTATGCCTTTTTTAAAAAAAAATCTGCAGCTCCCCTTTGTCTTTTCAAAAATAGCATGAGAGGGATCAGATTGAACTCATTCACAATATTATCTCGAGACAAAGTGTAAAGTACAAGAGATTCTTACTGTATAATAAGCCTTTGCTTTGCTCCAAGAATGCAACATGAGATTTGCCCCCCCCAAAAAAAAACCACAAAACTCAAAACCAGAAACAGGAAAATTCAGAATCAGAATAACCTCTAAGTCCACTCCTCTATTTTTAGGTTTTGGAAAACTAGCTAAAACCTCTCTGGAAACAATAAAGTCATATAACTAATCAATAAGGGCTTAAGAGAAGTCTGCTGAAGGGGATAGCAGTATTTTCAGTTATTACGGCACATATGCATTAAGAGAGTAAAAAGCAAACATGTATAGTTCTGTTCCCTATCCCATATTTCACATGCATTTCTGTTCTGTCTGCATTCTTTGCCCCGTGGAGCTCTCCCACCAAGCAAACTCCAGCTTTGTTGTAGAAGAATACCAAAATTAAAAAGAGAAAGAAAAGTTTGGCAGTGGTTTCAGAGCCATTGCTCACTACATTTTCACAGCAGCCTGAAAAATAACTCTGCCTAATGAGAGATTTATTGCTAAGTGCAGACAGAAAGGTGAGAGCACAAGGAGAAACTGCATGGGGAGGTCAGCCTTGCATGAACAATGTAGGTCACTGCTTGCTTACACGAACTGCAAATGATTCACTCCTGTGCTAACCTACCAAATTTCCCACCGTTTGCTAAGACAAACAGGCAGCGCAGAACATTACAGCAGTAGGAACTTGAATAGCACGTTGTCCTTGAGCCGTACCTTCCCAAGGATGCTGATAGCACAGGCCATCCCAACCTGTCCGACCCCCACAACGGTTATCTTGTTGTTCGGGGCCGTGGCTCCCGCAGCAATGGGGGTCATCAGCTTCTCCTTGAGAGTAGCCATCGTGCTCTGCAAGGAGAAACAGAAATATTTGTTTCACAGCAAGCCAGAGGGAACCAAGACGCATGCTCTGAATTGGTCATCCGCCATAGCTGGAAACTTGCCGGTGGAAGTGCTGCGAGTCGCTGTTGGTGGCGGTTTACGCACGGCAGCACGTGGGCACACTGCCCTTGTTCGCAGGGCTCTTTCCACCCCACGAGTCACCAACCCACCCACCCACCCTTCCTTGGCCACAGGGCTCTGGCTCCCATTCCTCCCATCCCACTCCAGTGCCCAGCGAGGGGCTGAAGGGTGGCAGAGGCTATTTTAGCAGCCCGTAACAGAACATCCTTCTGTTTCCAGAGCCTCTGCTCTACCAAAATACCTTCTGCACTAATGCCTCTTGGGCATTCACCTCCCACCAAAGCGCCCTTCAGGGCTTCGGGCTGGCAATAAAACCCTGAACCAGTTTGGGAGCAGCCAGCCTGCTGGGGTTTCCCCGGCGCGCTTCCCTTCGGCCCCGAGGCCCCCCGCTTCGCTCAACCCACGGCGCGGTGACCCCGCACACCCCTCCCTCCCCCGCCAGCCGCAGACCAGCGAGGGCTCTGGGGCCGCCACGCGAAGAGCACCCCACGGGTTTTCCGCGCACCGCCGGGGGCCGAGCCGGGAGCCGCCATCGCACCCAAACCCTCCCCCCCTCTCCCTCAGGGGCCGCAGCCCAGCTCCAGCCACCGCATCCCACCGCTGCGGGGACCGGCCGCCAACACCCCTCGCCCCAGACACGCGGGGATGCTCGGCCCCGGGGTGGGGCGGGGTGGCGCCCGGCCCGCCCCCCATCCCGGGGAAGGTGAACCCACCGGCTCCGCTCTGCCCGTACCCACCAGCAAGGCTCAGAGCGGGGAGAGGCGAGCGGAGAACGACCGTTGTCCTCCGGTGCCCGGGCAATGAGGACTCCGCAGCGGAAGGGGCGGGCCCGGCGCTCAGGGCCGGGCCGGGCCGGGCCGCCCCCAGCCCCGCTCTCCTGGGCGTTCCCCGGAGCCGTTTTGGGGAGGGGGAAGGGGGTCAGCGGCTGCCGCGCTCAATCCCCGCCAAGGACGGAGGCTCAAGGGTGCCGCCGCCCCGCCCCCGGCTCCCCGCTCCGGCTCCCCCCCGTCCCCCGGGGCCCGGCCGCCGCGGCGCGCTGGGTGGGCGGCGCGGCCATCGCTGCCCCTCGGCGCGGCCGCCTGAGGGGGTGAGGGAAGCGCCGGCTGGTCATCCTTTTTTTTTTTTTTTTTTTTTTTTTTCCTCCTGGGAGGCGCGCAGGAGGGTGAAGCGATGCTGTCGGGCACCGGCCCGGGGTCAGCCCTTCCCTGGGGCCGGTTCCGTGCCGTGGGGTCGGGGTGTGGCGGGCGTCCGCGCCGTGAGAGCCGGTCGCCGCCCGCGCGGTGGTCTCATGGCGGCCGGTGGTCTCGCCGGCGCCCCTGAGCTTACCGTCACGGTTTGCCAGCGACGTGGGCAGGCGTTACCGCTGTTCCACGGGGAGTCGAATCACTGCAAGCGAGAAGTTGTGCAAAAAATTCTTTTTGTGTGATGATCTTCCGGGGCAGAGATGCTCAAGTTGTGGCATCCGATTTTTACGCACTTTGATTTTTGCCCTGTAGCTGGCTCCGGTTGAACTTTTGGAGGTTGAACAAACCGCGGCGGGACAGTGGCAAGCCCGGGGTCGCACAAATGCTCGGGCGGGAACAAGGAGCCTGAGGCAGTGCCGCCATTGCGCCTGCCCCCTCCCCCTGCTTCGGCCCTGTCCGCGCCACGCTCTCCATGGCTATTTCACATATATCCCGATAAAACATCGCTTTAAAATTGTCATATGTAGGACCTGTGGAATGAGCCCTTGGAGTGTGCGTGGCGTTTTGTGTACTGTTAAAGTAACAAGCACATCCATCACTCTTAACGGATGATACGAGACGCCTTTGCTCTGACCTATGGAACCGATAAACTGAAAATTTAGGTATATGATTTGCCATAGTTGCTGAGCAGAGAAGAACAAAATTGTTTGTTGAAATTCCTGTGGGACCGACACATGCAAAATAGAAAAGAATAACTATTTTCTCCTGACACAGTTATGTTACTTCTTTATAGCTGTAAAGGAAAAAAGCAGGGGCAAACCATGGAACTACCCATTTCATTTCACTGGAGGAAAACAAGCTTTAGATTCCTCATCACACGTGATTAACTCTTTCTCACAAGAGGGAAAACAGAGTGGTAGATTCCAGAGTCCTCCCAAATAAGCCACTGGGTTAAATGTGACTAGGCAGAGAGCCTAGCTCTTCTCATCTAAAACTATGGTTGCCCTTTTTTCTGTTGTTGTGGCCAGTTTAAGGTTTTATTGATTTTTTTTTTTGCTAAGTATTTTGCCAGGTTAGTAATAACTGGATTAATTCCCTCTGGCTCACCAAGCAGCCAAACACATGCTGGTGCCAGCACGAGAGAGGGGGGAGCACAAGTGGTGAAGAAAGGGTAAAGCTTGTTTTTCCAGGCAGCAGTACAGATTCATGATGGCTTTAAATGACTAACCATGATCTACTTTGCTTCTTTACATTGTTTGACATTTCAAAGTGTCCCCTGGAGGGAAAGAAATGAGTTAAGCCATCCACATGGCTCTTCAGGTGGTGACTTGCTGTAAGCAAATAAATTCAAGCCTGATAACTATAGCTGAAAGGCGAGCTGGAGGTAAATAATAATTACACAATAAAATATAAGGGTAAGAAAGTCTACCCTCTATGAACAAAATGGGAACATGCACAGCTGAACTTTAAGAAAATAAGGGGGAAAGGAAAAGAAAAGGTACTGGAGAGGTTAGGGAAGGATCAGAGCAATGTATTTTCATTCTTGAACCAGAACCAAGGGGCTGTTCTTGTCCTGCCAGCGCCTGTTGTGAGGAACATTCTCCACTGCTTTAGGTCTTCTTTGGACAGGATCCTTCTCTCTACTTATGAGCATTCAACAATCAATTATCACAGTAGCATTTGTAACTATTAAATGGAGGAGAAAATGTCCCTTCCCAAGTTGCAAGATCTTAAAGCTTTTAAGTGAAAGACTGGACCATGTGCCGCATCTTACAACAGCTTTCCTAGGCCCTCCTTTAGATCAGGCTTCATTCTGCTCACAGTGTTAAAAGCACAGGATATTTAATCCCCTCCATGAAGCGCTTGCGATCTGAATAGACAAGGCAGGTGCAGAATAGCAAAAGAAAGATTATTCCCTCTTCCTACTCTTAGTTATTTACTTATTTATTGTTTCAGACAGTGGAGGATTGAGGCACAGAGAGGTGAAAAGATCTCCCCAAGGTCACACGGGAAGTCACCTGATAACAGGTCAGAGTTTCAAAGTTCAACTCTAGTTTGGCAATGTTGGCATTTTTGATGAGGCTCAGTTTTCCAGAAAAACAAACCCTAGTGTTAAGGGACATAGTCTAAATAAATTTGCCTGGTAACCTTCATACAATTACAACATTTCTTTGTGTATACATTTTAATCACATTTAACTTTTGGTTTGTATACAAAGGTATATATTTGTATAATTAGGTAAATCTGAGATACTCCACTACTTGCATCTGTCCCATCATCTTCCCAAAACACATGAAAGTAGACAGGATTTCACTGCTGTTTCTTTTTTTTTTTTTTTTTTTCAAAAACTTCAGTTAAACCTGATTAGGAACAGATTTCACTTGAAAAACTCTATTAATGAAAGTCTTTCCCACAGGAAAATGTTGATGGTCTGATGTCCATGGTCTGATGATGGCTGTACTCCTAAGGTAGTAAACATCATGAAGAATATAACCTAGGAAGGGAGGGAACCCCTTACACTGCAAGAACATGGGATGTAGGACTCGTGACAGGACAACATCAGGTAAAGGGTGATCTTCTGTCACAGTGTTAGACCTTGTAGATCAGGTCATCAGACAGCAGGATGGAAATGCTCTGAGCATTAGTTCACATGGCTGTAATGGAGAAAAAAAAATAATTAGTTGTCCAGCTTTGCAAAATACAGAGAACTCCATATTTCCCACTGAAAATCACAAAATGCTGACGTACATAATGCTGGCAGATGCCAAATTAAATTTTGGGTCCACCTATATTTTAATTTTTTGCTTATTCATCTGAATTTTCCTTTCAAAGGGAAAATACATCACACAGTAAAGAGAAATTATATTGGAGTGGCAGTTTTGCAAGCTTCTTTTACCTGTTTTCTTTGAAGGAATTGTTCCTTATTTTTGGTGGTGGGCCTAGTTTCTGTTTAATTTTTGCTTAAAGATATTACAGTGTTACATAGATAACACATTCATAATAGTTAAGTGCTATATAATGTAGTTAATAAAAAAACCCAAATATACATCACGTGCATGTGTGCACAAGTTCACATAGTGATAGCCCACAGTTAAAGTTCCTAGTGTTGGTGGAAGAGGTAACAGAACGGAAACCTTTTCCTCTTTAAATGAAACTTTCTTATTAAGTCATCATAATAGCCCACATTTTCAAAATAATCTTAATCTACCCTCTATTTTGGGGCACTTGTGTGTGTAGGTACGCCTAGTATCTCCAACTGCTTGCACAGGCATGCAGAAGCTGAACAAGAAAGCATGTCTGGGAGCCATGTCAAGGGAACAAATGGGGCTTCTTCCTGCAGACCTGCATCATAGTGGAGTGGGGTCTGTGTGTTTGGGACTACAGTGCAAAAGGAGTGAAATATTGTGATCTCATTTAATAAATTTGATGTAAGAGGAAACAAACGGTTATAAAATTTTGCAATTATCTAAGAGCAATCAGTTTGTAACAGCTAAACTGCATTGATAGCTCTGGCTCATTAAAAAATCAGGAGAAGCAACAGCTGCTAAATAAAGTGATATAACAGAAAAGGGGCAATATGGTATTTATATGATACACACATCTGGCTTTGGCAAAGGACCTGGCTTGGGAAGGACCTTCCCCCCTCCTGTGCCCTCAGTGACTCTTCATATCGATGCACTATGGTTCCCTCTTCTCCCCACTGTGCCGGTGTAACTGTTGGGAAGGCCTTGTAGGATCTCTGTCATCATCTTGGTGAAATATAATCTTAAAGAAAAAGAAGAAAGGAAAGAACATCCTAAACAATTTTTGTCAAAGATAATTTCTAATTTCATTTTTAAAATATCGAAGAAATATTTTGAAACATTTCCTACTCTGTTACAATCCAGTTTGTACACCATCCATGGATAAATGTCTGTCTTCCACAACGACCATTCAGCCAATGTCTTCCAAATGCAAGCAAAAATACACAGAATTGAAAGTTTGTATGACATACGGACAGTGATTTTTATCAGTAGATGAATTTCCATACAATAAGGACGATTTCTTTTATCTGAACTGGTTAACTGTTCAGAAGATTTTGTAGTCCTAAGATTTTTATGTATGGATTTTGTTAATTTTATGTCTGAAGAAGTGAATATGGCTTTGTCAGCTTAACACTTCTCCAGACATGAGTGCAAGGCCATGTTCATGCTGACGAAGTTTTTACATTAGTGCAATCACCCCCTGTAATTATATAGTGTAGTTGTATTTGCCTGAAGAGTGATGTGTGCCACGGCAGTTTATCTTGGTACAAAGATTTTTACAGTAGTTCTGTGTAGTATAAAGTATTACATTACAGTAGGTTTTCCAGTAGTGCTTCATGTAGAAACACATACAACCCCTTTAATGACTTCTGAAGTAGTTCCACGACTGCAGGATTTATTACCTCTTTCAGAGTCAATTCCAGGTTTCCTCATGTGCATGTCATACTTGGGGAAGGTACTATACTATTTTGAATCCCCCATGTCTGGACATGGCTTAAACTGAATTTTTCTAAAAGACAGATTAATCTCTCCCACTCCTTTCCACCTAATCATTCACTTACATGATCCCACAATTTATCTTGTTAAAAATTACCATAATTCTGAAGACAGACTGAATGCATTTTCACCCATTTTACAGAAACACACTTCTACCCATTTTACAGATACACACTTCTGTCCATGCTCTCTAGTACAGTCGCAGGCTTCCAGCCGCTGCCTTTGAAGCAGATTGCTGATGTTAAGGGTCAAGGTTGAATGACCGCTCTCCTTCTTGGGAAGCATCCATTGATATCTGAACTGACCTTTGCCATATTGCACTCTGGACCCACACTGCTCTGCAGTTCACAGAGCAAGCTTTGTGGAAGCTTTGTGTGAGCACAACTGAGCTTCCAGTGAGTATTATTTAACCCATTTCCCGGTACTGAGGAATGTTTGGCTTCATTGCTACAGCCAAGTCCTGTGTGAAGGCAAGGGAGGACACACTTTGCACTGACTTGTGGTGGTAGAGATTTGTTGATGGAAGTTGGCAGAAAGCAATCAGGCAATGTAGGGGAGCATCCTGCCTTTAATGGTGTTGGCTTTGTGGAGCAGTGGAAGAGAACTGTTGGCAGATGCAATGTGTCAGTATGTATCTGAATGCTGGGAAGACTCCTTGAGTGTCCTCAGTCACAGCTTATTTCACCTGAGCAGTATATGTTCTGAAAGGTGACAAGTGGCAGCAATGTAGGGGTTGCTCCCTGGAGAAGGCATGGTAGCTTAACACTCTCTGTCAGCCTGGGAGACTTGGTCATGAAGGTATGCAAGTATCTATGCCAGGCTGATCTCATTTAAACATTTTCCATATTTCAAATTAAACAGTTTTTGAAATCTGAAAATAAAATCATTACTTTTAAAATCACACACAGAGGCATGCTGAGAAGGGCTATGCTGTGAGTCCAGAGTGCTCCTTGACTCTGCTAACCTGTTCCTGTGGTTAGAGGGTTTGCAGGGGAAAAACATAATTGCTGAAAGTTGGGACAGATGTGAGTCCCACATGACGCAAATGGGGTTACATTTTCCAGTGGTGGTCCTAGAGGGTGATACACAAAGATCAGGTAAGACATCCATGGACACATTTTAAATCTTCTCCTTCAAACTATAAAACATATCCCAGTTACTCAACCAACCAAGCTTCCACTTTAGTTTGTAATGCTGTAGGCAAAGCAAAGTGAGCCATGAGCTGTAGGATGACTGTAACAAATATCTTTGATTTGGATTTGATGGGTGCCCGCCTATAATTTCTGTGATTCTTTTAAATTATTGTGAGGAACTGTTGTTTCCTTTAGCACATACCATTACTATATACTGAAAGAAGAGTCAGTGAAGTGCTTCACGTCTGGAATTCAGTAATGTGACCTGGCAGATTTCAGTGCAAACTCATTGCTCCAAAGCTGGGTCAAACCAGCAGAGATCAGAAGATGTTGCTTTCTGACTGACTCCATCTAAGTACTGTTATTTTGGATATTGCTACCCCTCTCTTCAAAACAACAAAAAAACCCCAAGACATAGAAACTGCTCCTCAGTTCTGCAAGTCAGCCCCAAAGCAAGTTTAAGATGTAGCTCATGCTCTCATTGCTCACGCCACCTCCTCCAGGCACCTCTCACCCACCACAGACACCCACTGCCATCTGCATGTAACACAGACTTCCAGCTCTGACTTTCTCACTCACACCTAAGCAAGATGCTCACACAAGAGAGGACTTGAACTGCTCCTGTTATGGTGAGTGAATAAATGGATCTTCCGGGGGGGACCTATTCCCAAGTGCTAGTTCTCACCCGGGGATGCTATTTTCATCACCCCACCATAGGCAGCAGAAACGCTCCTCCAGAAGCAATTTAAGACATAGTAAGGTGCTGGCTTCAGAAGCTAAGCCAGCTTCTGATGCTTTTGCCCCATGTTGGCAGCTTCCAGTTCTGCATCTCTGTTTGCTGCTGTCTTATCTATACTGCTATGATTGTGGTGGCTCACAAGCTAATCCCTGTTTTCAGGGAGTTAATTTCTATCAGTTTGTTATCCAGCCCCATGACAGTGACAGCAGCATGAGAACTGGAGCGGGAAGTTACAGTGCGGGGGTAGGACTCCTTTAAGTCACTTACACCATTAAAGCTCTCCATTTACAGAGCAGCCAAGGGTGAAGTTACCCATCAGAGCTGAGGCATGGGACTAGCTCAGCACTGCAGCAACAGGCAAGTCTCAAAGTGCTGCTCTCCACTCCTGCTCGTCCTTTGTACCCACCAGTTTTGATGCTTCTCTAATCTCTTCCTGAGCCAGTTCAGCTCATTGAATCAGAAGAAGACCTATCACTTTTATCTCATTGAAGTCATTTTCTGTTCATTAACCAACTGACTGGGTTCAGTAAAGTGCCCAGCAAATACCAGAGACACAGCTCAAGAAGGGTCAGGATGAGCCGGCGCAGAGAGGGGCCCTTCCCTTTGTTGTGGCTGAGAAACACTAAATCGGCTCTCTGCCTCTCCTGTAACTTCAGCCTAAATTAAGCTTGTGCTCTGAGCTGTCTTCTAGAGAAGCTTACATTTCCACAGACTGCAGAAGGAGCTGGGGATGTGGATTAGCTTAATTCAGCTAAATTTAGTCTATGTGAATACCTCTTCCTGTACCCAGTGTTGTAATTCCAACACTTCCTATTAATAATAACTCATGCACATAAACTATTGTAAATTGTCTTGAATAGCATAATCAGCCCCAGCAGTGATATCGGCTAACACAGGCTAGATAAGCACGACATTTTTTTCCTTGGCATGTGCCAGAGATTTACTGTGCACATTTAGTTTGTACTCTCGAAACCTCTGTGTTGTTGTAAACTTATCAGCTAATGCTGAGACATATACATGTGGGCAGTGGGAGATTTGATAGATCATCAGAAAGTCACAGGCTCCCTGTAATTTGTTGATTTGCTTCTTAGCACCTCAAGGAAAGTAGGTAGAAATTTACCCTGCCTGGGTTTTAGTTTAATGGATCAGGACTTGGAATTATATTTTAAAT